TGTACGTCAGTAGCTATGGTTATGTATTTGACGTATAAATCTCGCGCGTCTGTCTTTGTATCTTACGCCAAGGAGGTTTGATATGCATATACATGTAAATCTCGTGCATCTGTCTTTGTGTTTGACTTCAGAGGGGCAGGAAGTATTGAAGTTGAGGCCTCTTGTAATTTAAAGCCTACTTTTTTATAATCGAAATTTACAATTTTATATTACAATAAATTGGAAATAAAAGGAAATACATGTAACTGATTAATTATATAGTAGGATATGCCAGGGACATCAGCGAAAGTTGACAGTGATTCCTTAGATGACGTGTATACACTAAAACCATGATATACAGAATGATATGAATTAATTCATGAATATTTTGTTTTAGATTCGTTCCCGTTCGACTGCTGGGAAATCCTGCATAATGGTTTTAATACCACTGGCATATACCAGATTTATCCCTGGGGATCCAGTGGAAAGTCGATGGACGTACTCTGTAATATGGATGTTGAACCAAAAGGATGGACGGTAGGGAAGATTATAATGATTGTTATTACAGATCTAATATCTTCTGCACTCAAAATGAACAAAAGAACTATGTCTTTTTTTACAATACGTTTTGCTTTCTTCTGATCCTTACAAAAACTTGAGATAAAACAATGATATGATTTGCACTTATTAAACATTGCTCTGACTCTGTTTAGCTAGAATATTGATTATAATTAAAAAAAATGATATTAAACATTTCCATTTGTATCATTTCCCTTTTTTTCCATACCTAAACAAAAATGAATTCTCACTGAATACTGCACAATATCACACAGCCGCCCTCTGTTATCTACTTATATTCTATGACATATTCTTTGTTGTTCATGAATACGAAACTGTTCATTGACGTAATATTTTTTCTAGGTGTTTCAATGGCGTCAGCCTTTAACTGAAAACTTTACTAGAAATTGGGAAGAGTACAAAAATGGTTTTGGGAATGTCAATGGTGAATTCTGGCTAGGTAAGGTTAATTATTAAATCACTCTTCGTCAAAATTAAATAAATAAATAATTATAAAACAATTTACAATTATGGACGTCAGTGTAGGTCGATATGTGGTAAAAAGGACTCATGGCAATTCATATTGACCGAAGACACAGAAAGTGATAGAGACCGAGCCTGCGAGGTCGCTATCATTTTCTGTGTCTGAGGTCAATATTCTTTCAGCCAATAAAAAATACGACAATAATCTTCTTATATAATATTTAATAACATTACACGCGCTTGCAGTATATGTATTGTAATGTTCTACCATTTGATTCCCCTAACTTCTACAAAAATTCCTCAAATTCAGAAAAGCATCATTCTTTAATTTCGTACACGCCGCTAAGAATCGCAGCCTTGGACCACAACGGAGACCCATGGATTACTCCTTTCAGCGTCAATTTCCAGTTTGTGGCCGATGTGGAATTGTCCATAGAACCAGTTGCCGTGCTCAAATGGAGAAGTGTTACAGATGTAAGCGTCATGGTCACTATGCTAGAATGTGCAGGACTGTCCTCTCTTCCCCTGTGAGGATGACCTTGAAGGCAAATACTAGTGCACCAATCCAAGAGCAACGTTCCGGTAGACGAAAGTCCAGAGACAAAATTCGTATGGAAAAATACATTGAAACAAAATCTCACCTCCGCGAATTGCCGTTCTACAATTTGAGAAATACCGCTTTCCAAGACGCCCTAAACATCCATCATGGCCTGAAAACAGAACTTCGTCAAATACACGCAAAAATAAAAGAGATTGAAATAATGTATACCGACGCAGTTAACATCATCATCAACCAAGAAGAAAAGCTTGACCAACTACTGACAAGACAACTGCCCGAATCATCGAATAACATTACCACTGAAGATAAAGTAAACATTTCAAAGTTGCAGCACGAGGTTAACACACTACGGATTGAAAACGCATCTTACAAACAATTAATAGATTCAATAAGTGCAAACGTCCAAGAAGAATGGATAGAAAACAGAGCGAAACTTCAAGAAAGGGACAACACCATTCTAACCCTGAAAACCGAAAATATTCAACTCTTGAACAACCAGGAATTTTATTTACAACGGATACGTGAACTAGAAAACGATGCTTATTATCGTTCCATCAAAATCCCAAATTACGGACAAAACCGGCACAATATTCATTTCGGACATCATATTCATTCAAGTGAACAAACATCTAGCGTACCAATTCAAAACACGAGGACGTGTTTTACTGGGGCAAGGGGGTATTGTCACAGATGAAAATGTACCATTGGACATTTTGACAATTTCTTAATTCTGTATTATTTCAATTTAAAATTCTCACATCTGTTTTTAATTTACTGAGCTGTCAGTGAGTTGCTTCAATCTGTCAGAATTATCTATTTTGTAATATTTAAGAGTCAAAATCAGCAAGTATCGAGCATTTAGTTAAAAAATGTGGAAAGTGGCATAGAAACAGATTTGGTTAAAACTCATATATAAATTTTCAGAACAAAGGGTTTGAAAGAAAAAAGCAAGTAAAAAAATAATTTTTCGCATTGTTGCTATGGAAACCACGCGCCTTTCAAATGGCGTGTTTTGTATACTTTATCATGACACTTGAATTTATGGTTAAACAAACACTTTTTTATTATTTGTCATTAAAAAAGCTTTTTAAATTATTATTTTATTTATATCAATATGCCCTATTTTAACAACTGTTGATTTTTGAAATTCTCTTCACCTTTTCATAAATAAATCTAGTTTTTGGAGGTTTATTTTGCTTTAAAAAACAGCAAATTTGAAGAACTCTATAAGAAATCTACAACCACATCAAAGCTTATCAACATAAAATATTTATTAAACAGTATCTGTTCTAGAAGAATCAAGAAAAAAAATTTGCAGGCAACTAAAGCATTTATATATGATAACTGATTTAAATCCATAATTTTCTGTCATTTTTGCTTCAAATTACGTCCCTTTGGTAGAGCTCTCTAACATAGGAGGAGTAAACGGTAGTTTGCTTACATTGTTTTCAATAACAACGTACAGAAGACTAGCAGAAAATTACAAACTTGGAGCAGTCTGAGCCTCAGTTTTGGCTCTTTTTATGAGTCTTAATTACGGTGAGTGATTGTTTTTACAATTTACCAGTACAACAGTTACTGAAGAATGTATAGCATAAATTAACCATTCAGTAAAATATGTAACACTTGGCAAGTGTTTTTGCATATTTCAATTTAATTCTGATTGATTATATATGCTCGCATTACTTTAGTATTTTATAACTAAAAAGAAAAGATTATGCTTGGCCTGAGGAACCTGGACTGGAGGAGGGGGGTATGCCCCCTCCCCCTCCATAATGTTGCCGATATTAATTTAAACTATATGATAAAATGAAATTAAATTCCCTAACTTAGATTGTTTCTGCGGGCCTAACGTGAAAAAGATGGTCATGATCAGTCACATAACTGTATCCCAAATTATAAAGTTTAATTTGAATTTAGTTTAATTTTAATTTGTTGTAACCAAAGTCACTCACCAGCTATAATGATTATAACTTGATTGATGGTCGGGTAAATAAAAATTTTGTATATAATAGTAGATATCTTTATTTAATATTTACCATTTAAGATACTACCTGCTTTTTACATGAAAAATTATGAATTTATGAAAACCAACACTATTATGAAATATTTGTAAAATGGAATGACCTTTGTTATGGCGTCCGTAAAAAAAGAAAAAGGGACAGGGAGTTAACGCTGTACTTAATATATCTTAGTTTAGGAAAGGGGATTACCTTGGAAGTATTGTGATACAGACAAGTATTGTGATACAGACAAGTGTATTATGTTGTGGACTAGTGGTAACTGAATTGTATATATACCACAGTAAAATAATTAATTAAAAAAATTAACTTTTTCATCCAGTGTTTACTTGTAAAAGAAAATTCATATTCAGCTAACATTTTCTCCGGTACCACTGAACTAATTTAAGTCAACCAGGTTCAAATAATAAGCTTTAGATTTAAAGCACGTAAATTTGTGAAATGAATATTTATACTCCATTTTTTCTTGGGGGGGGGTTATTTGAAAGAAATGAAAAACATAATTAAGAGTTTTGACAAAACCTAGAACCAATTGACCTTTTTATTGCAAGTATTTAAATTTAAAGAATATCTAAAATCAATACGGTCTCAACTTTGTGTTGTATACTTCTGGTTTTAGAATGAAATTCGGCACTTTGAAGCCAAACTCGGAAAGAAGCAGAAACAGAATTGGATGAGCTGATATAGAATTAGACAGGAAAAACATGTAAATAATACATTTAGTAAAAACGTTAACTTTTTAGAATAAAATGATAAATCATTGAGATCTCTTGGAATTTAATTGATTCCAATAAAAATGCTTTGCATTCATCATTATTGCTCAAGCTCAACTAGAAATGGTTCTAAGTATATGAAGGCAAAGCTGTATAGTATTATTACATTTTAATTTTATTACTTTTTCAGATTATGAGAAGACATTATTACAATACAGACCATTGATGCTGGAAGTGAGTGGATAGTGTTACCGGAGACTCAGGGATCCAGAAAATAGATCCATAAATTGTACAATGTATACATGAAAGTGGATCAAATAAAAATGTTCAATCCAAAAGTAACATTCTTTGTTTGTCTGTTAGCATTTTTTATTGATGTAAATCTAATAACTATCAATTTTTAGTATGCAGATTAATAATTAGACCATAGAAGAATCTAAAACATATCTTTATATTCTGCATTTTGAAGTATCATAATTAAAACAAGGTCAATATTAAATGATCAATCAACTAATTTCAAAACTGACAAAATGTTTTTGTTATAAAAAAGAAAGAGCGCTAGTTTATATATTGTACCTCACGTACTACTGATGTTGGTGTGAGTGAAATAAAAATGATGATGATGATGATTAACTAAAGTCAGTCGACACGTTCCTCAAATTTATGTTTTGTATCTCTTGGTATTATAAAAAAAGGTTCATATTCGTCATTCTCTTCTGATTTCTACATTGTTTTCAAAATGTTTTTAAATATGAGTACAACAAAAATTTTGATATATGCCATTCAAAAGATTGCCCATTAGGGTTATTAATGAATATCTTTTAGGGTCAGTTCAAGTTTAGACATTCATATACATTATAGCCCTTCCAGATTTTTATTTTAGGCACCAGTAGCTACTGAGGTCTTAGCTGTCTTGCAATATGTTTCTCAATTAGGACAACAGGAGAATATATCATCAGTTCAATACCAAAGGTTCCAGTCATTCGTTCTTGACAGACATGGTATCGTTTTTGAAAGTGCATGGTGTGGGGTAGGCATAAAAAACTGCAAGAAAAAAAGTGGGGAAATTCTCTAAACTCGGGGGTGGGGGGTTAAACATCAGGTTATGTTGAGAAAAAGGTTGGGTGGGGAATGTCATCCCCCCTACCCAACCCAAACCTGATGCTACATGCCTGATTGATATGGTTTTACTTTAAAATTATGTGAGCTGTCATAGTGACTCTTTCATAAACTAGAATTATTGTGAGCAAGCTCATAAAATGATACCCACTCTCCTGCTATTGCATCAAATGTTTTTTATTACAAAAAAGGTCTAAATATTAATTTAAAACCTTTTTTAAATTTTGTTAGTGCAGATATACATACCAAAAATGACTATGACATATACTAAAATCATAGGTAGTAAAACCGTTGTGTTGAGCACAAACTTCCAATTTCTCTTCATTCGAAGTTAAATATGTAAATGTGCCAAACTCATATAGTACACTTTTACTGCAGTGACCTTGAAAAAGCTATGTCCTTGAGTCAAGGTCAAACATGTCCAAATGAACTTTGGTCAAGGTCATGCAAAATGAAATATCATATTTTGTTCTTGGTATATGTTTTAAGGCTCTTTTTTCTATTATTTGGTCACATTTCATCCTATAATTGCTTTTTATTTTTACGTGTATGACTTTATAAAATTCAATGAATATTTTTTTTTTACTTTTGAATACTTTATTACCATAGTACCGTATGTAATAATTGATTTACCAAATATGTTTATCATGCATTTGAGACATCTGACCTTCAACTTTTGGAAACAGTCATTGCCAATTGTTTGCTTTGCCGCAAATGTTAACTATGGGGCTCTAAACATGTTAAAAAATGTCATTTTTCGAACTTTAAGACATGTTGCCATGGTAACTATAAAACATACCAACCAATTTCTGCCTGATTTCAGTTTAGGGTATCAATGACTTTTATCATAGAGAGTTTGGAGAAATTCTGAGACTATGCGTGCCACAGCTCCTATATAAAATTTCAAATCATTACAGAGAATGGCTCTTAATTAGCCATGAGTGATATGACCAGATGGACTGTGCTTTGTGTGACTTAATTATTGTTTATTTAAAATCATACTCTTTAACTCTACTTGTAAATCAAATTAACTCATGTCATATGTTACTCAAACTTGTCAATTATCAACATGTCTATAAATACAAATTTTTATTAACATTGGGAGAGTTGGAATCGGGACGTGCTTGTCCCTGATACTGTCCGACCCGACGAGAAATAAAGGTCTGCAAATCGTAAAGCGGTTTTATCTTCATTTACCCATTAGTCCACCTTAGTGGCTTTTACCGACAAGCCCACGCATCTAACGCAAGGGTGTGATACAAGTATAAGTACACGTAGGTCTTAACAAATTTTACTGTAATGTTCTTTTTTGTTCTTACTAAATTCAATCATGGCATAATATTTTTTAGTGAAAAAATGAAAAAAAAAAAATTTGAAATTGGTTCTTTGTTATTCTGAGCATCTCATCCAACATATTATGTTTCTTGAATGTGTATACACCCGTAGATGTTGGATATCTACATTTCCTCTTTTACTTTTGTCAGGAAACGAGATCGTTCATCTTTTGACAAAACCACACCGAACATTGTTTCACATTGGTATATCAAGTAAAAATGGAAGCTCTTGGTATGAAAGATTTGACGACATGAAATTAGCATCCGAAGCTCAAAAGTACATGATAACTCTCGGAAGGGCCTCAGGAACTGCTGGTAAACAATGATATATAACGACACCTAAAGTTACAAGACATTCTTCTTAAGTAATAGTCGCCCGCGTGGCGCAGTGGTTAGGGCGTCTGCTCTAGAGTCGCGGAGTAAGGAGTCTATCCTTACGTCGCGGATTCGAATCCCACTGTGGGACGTGGAGACCGGTCATTCGGATGAGACCGTATAAACCGAGGTCCCGTGTCGCAGTAGGTGCTGGCACGATAAAGATCCCTCCCTGCTCAATGGTCCTAAGTGCCAAGTGTAGGACAAAATTTGCAGCTCTCCATCGGCGAGTCCTTGCGTCTCCATATGAGTGGAGAATTCTCGAGAGGGACGTTAAAAAGTATACAATCAATTTTAAGTAATATCTATTTACAAAAAGAAATATCCCCTAATTAAACAAATGCAACTTTACAGGTGATGTAAGTTCAAGTGAATATGGTGGCGCTGGTACTATGGAGGGTCGTTCCTTTACGACATATGATAGAGACAATGATTTGTCACCTTATAACTGTGCAGCAAATTACAAAGGAGGATGGTGGTTCAATTACTGTCACTACGTTTTTCTAAATGGACCACGTTATTTTACTGGAGTCACCGTGTATACAGGTTGCCTTACCATGGCAACTTTTAACTCATCCATCCTAATGATAACTCGACTGTGACATCCAGCATTTTAACCAACATTCTTTGTTACATGTAGTCAAAAAAAACACATTTCTTTTTCTTGATAATAATTGTAATAATAATAAATAAAGATCAGACAAAATTTGATTTAGTGCATTTTTAATGAGGGTAAAATATTTAAATACTAAGTGCATGATTTCAGCTAGTAAGTATTCTGTACAAACGAGTGAAATATATACATGTGTATTGTTATAATGAGTCAGTTGCACATCTCTTTATACTAAGCTGAGCAAATATATACAAATTGAAACTTCAAAATCTAAACAGTGAAAGCAAACCCATTATTAATACGAGGGATGTCCCAGAAAAAAACGCAAACCTTTTGAATATTTCAAATCTATTCTACCAAAAATAATTATTTTTGACATGCTGTTGGGAAATCATCTTTTAGATATTCTGACAAAATATTATAGGCCTTTGATTTCATATGCATATAAAAACATCATTTAAAAGATGCTCAATATCGGTGGTCGGCGCACGACTTTTTTTTATTTTTACAAATAGCATTCTGAATGACGTTCTCGTTGTTAATTATTAGGCTATATGGCGATATAATGTCAAAAATTTTACTTACATCGATACTCTATAATTTGGTGCACTTGTGTTTAAAATTTTATTTATTTGACGTTATTAATGACAAATATATGACGATATATGCCAAAGCGCTTTGAATTAGATATTGTCAAAAAAGGTGACGTTTAGCAGTAATGTGAAGCACCAAATTATCAAGCCAACACATTATGTTGAGCGAGATATGACTCTTTTATATACAGAAAGGAGATTTAAAACTATAAAAAAAACTCAAACATAAGTATGGGAAACAGGTTTATATCTAGTAGAAGGTGTTTGAGGTTGACAGAACCACTTGAGAGAACAGACCACCTAAAAAAGACGAACTGAAAAGACAAGAGCGGGATGTCATACATTGTAGGCCTACGTGAAAAACACTGTTGATTCCATCGTCTCAAGCCACGGTCCAGAGTCCGCATATAGCTCTCTCCAGAATGGGAGAGGATCACACAATTTGGCCGTGGTTTGCGACGATGTGTTGATTCGATCAGGTGGGTTTATTATCGGGATTATGAAATTGTCTATGCAAAGAATTAACTCCCGAATCTTTTAATAACATTGGTATTTGAGATGTTTAACTTGGTAACTAAAACAAAATTAAATACATTGCCGAATGTGTGCTTAAATGAATATTTTTAGAGGCACAGTTTCCAGAACAAATTAGTAAACAAGTACATATATGAGGTACTTTTTGACGTCGTCATTGTTGCGCCGACAGCTGATTTGATAGATGCGTTTACAGGAGAGGAACATTTTATTTATAGAGTTATTTCACTGAAAGAATGACTCTTCATAACATTGCGATCTGGCCCCTTTTTAAACACGGATTTTTGCCTTTTTAAATCAGAACATTGACATATTTTAGCTAAAATGTACAAGTAAGGTATGAATACAAACACTTCAAAATCTTTTTTGATAGAGAGACTCTCAATATATACATCATATCAATGAAATAAAATTGCATACATCAGTGCCAAATCTCAACTTCGCCATTGCAGCTATGTAAGTCATTGTATTATTAGAATAAGGAGGCGGAGCGTCAGTCAAGCGTGCGACTGTTGTGAATATATTATCGAGTGTTCGACGTGTAGTTTTTTTAAGTGATATCTTTTTAAATAACTAAACAATCTTAAAACCCCCTCACCTTTTTTTCGGGCTTGGGACCGACAATATGTAATAATTTTGGCAGGTTTAGGTTTTGTTTTTGTCCCCCGCTTGAAAAGTGGGGGATATTAATTTGGGTCTGTCCGTCCGTCCGTCCGTCTTTCTGTCTGTCAGTTACGCTTTCGTTTCCACACGATTTCTCGAGAACCCTTTCAGCTTTTGCAATGAAATTTTGCATAGCAACTCCCTATAGACTAAAGAAGACCCCTATTGATTTTGAGGTCAAAGGTCAAGGTCATAAATTCGCAAATTCTCTCTGTCTGTTACGCTTTCGTTTCCACACGATATCTCGAGAATTCTTTCAGCTTTCGCAATGAAATTTTGCATAACAACTCCCTATAGACTAAATAAGACCCCTATTGATTTTGAGGTCAAAAGGTCAAAGATCAAGGTCATAAATTCGCAAATTCTGTCTGTTATAACACTTTCGTTTCCGCGCGATATCTCGAGAACCCTTTGAGCTTTTGCAATGAAATTTTACATATCAACTCCCTGTGGCGTAAGGAAGACCCCTATTGATTTTGAGGTCAAAAGGTCAAAGTTCAAGGTCGTAAATTTATACATTCTAACTGTATGAAACACTATCATTTTCGGCCGATATTTCAAGAAGATTGTGAGCTTTTGCAATGTAATTTTATACCAAAACTCCCTAGGACCTGTCTCACCCCTCTCAAAGTGTCCCGCCCCGTTTGTTTTATTAGTATTTATTGTATTACATGTCGCTAATTTTAGCACAGGGGCATGATGAGAGTTATTACGTATAAAACAGGTTCTCGGTGGACTTTACATTCTTATTACATCTATTAGAACTGTTTAACAAAGGTTAAATAATTAGATACCGTGCATTGTGTAAAATTTTGACAATATCGAACTTGAATATATACATGTATGTGACTTTATCTTTGCATATACATGTAATATTTTCCTGTTCGAAGCGTTTCCGTGGTGTAGTGGTATGTCTCTCGCTTCACATGTGAGAGGGCCCGGGTTCGATTCCAGAATGATCCATTTTTTATCTTTTTTCGAAATACACTTTTTTTTTTAACTAAATGATAGTAATCAGCATGTGAAATGAAAAAAATTATGAAGTCTGGTTTGTACAAACTCATAAAATCATCATTACAGTGTGATAAATATTCCAGAATCTTCTATACACATACATGTAATAAAGAATAAGCAATCAAACTTTTATATCCATATTGACATATTTTATTTGCTTCAGTATACATGTATACATTTAATAATTCTACAAATTCAGTCAAAGGGATCTAACCCCCATCCCCTCCCCTCCCCCGAACTGCGCATGGTTTACTTTTTCCCTAAGCGGGGGACACAAATTCTCTGAATTAGCTTGTTACTGCTTAGCTTTTAAACGAGTATATCAATGAAATAATTATTTTTGAAATTCGTTGAAATAAAATGTAAACACAATGTTATGGTTTCTGTAAACATAATGTCTTATAAAAGATAGTATTTTTAGGACTAAGTAAGTATTTTTAAGATTTTACAGTAACCTAGCTTATTTCTCAAGGGATAATTATTTTAATTCTAAAGCGATAATAATTTCATTAAAGTTTTTTTTTACATGTAGAATTGATTATCAATAGCATATAATTTTGCAAAAAATCTGAGTGTTCCATCAAATATATGTATGCGGTTGAATTTTAATAGAAAGCCAGGATATTCATGTAAGAATTAAATATCGGTATCTGTGTCTTTTGCACAGTCCAGAACGCTGTCGGGCATAATCTGACTCTGAAGCTCTGTGTCTGCGTGTCTCTGCACTGCTATGTACCACAGTACCGACTCAACATGCGCACAGCTGCCCACTAATGCCTAGGTCACATTTCCCGGCCAGTAGCTGTAGACCGGTGGTAATCGGTGGTAATCCGTGGTGTTAACGATGCCCTAACATCGGTCCACATCGGCCTAGTAGTCCTTACAGAATCAGTCACATTATCCAGCGATGAGTATTCGATGGCCAACCAATGCATTTTATGATAAAAATGGCGTTGTTGCCGGCCGGACTTTCAAAGGCCTAGCGATTTATTGCTAATTATAAAACGATGTTCCAGGATGATCGGCCGATGTTTATTACATCGATCATACATTGGTGAACATCGTTTGAACATCGGTTGACTACGGGCCAATGTTTGGTCGAAAATCGACCGATGATCGGCCGTTATCTGTTGAACACCTCTCAAACCCCGATGACCTCAGATTCAACGGATATTGGACGATGCTCGGCCATACATCGGCCGATCCGTGAAAGATGCGTTAATGATGGGTTGCCGATGAGGAGCGATGTGAGGCATCGTTGGAGACATCGCTGAATTTTAACTATGAATTATTTCCTACCGATGACCCCACCGATTCGCAAAATGGCCTCAGTCACCTTCCGATCACTAGTGGTGCCCGGCCGGCAACCACGCCATTTTCATCAAAAAACGCATCGGTTTCTCATCGTATACCCCATCGCTGGATAATGTGACTGATACTTAATGCCTAGGTCACATTTCCCCGGCCGGTAGCCGTAGACCGGTGGTAATCGGTAGTAATCCGTGGTGTTAACGATGCCCTAACATCGGTCCACATCGGCCAAGTAGTCCTTAAAGTATCAGTCACATTATCCAGCGATGAGTATTCGATGGCCAACCAATGCCTTTTATGATAAAAATGGCGTTGTTGCCGGCCGGACTTTCAAAGGCCTAGCGATTTATTGCTAATTATAAAACGATGTTCCAGGATGATCGGCCGATGTTTATTACATCGCTCATACATTGGTGAACATAGTTTGAACATCGGTTGACTACGGGCCAATGTTTGGTCGAAAATCGACCGATGATCGGCCGTTATCTGTTGAACACCTCTCAAACCCCGATGACCTCAGATTCAACGGATATTGGACGATGCTCGGCCATACATCGGCCGATCCGTGAAAGATGCGTTAATGATGGGTTGCCGATGAGGAGCGATGTGAGGCATCGTTGGAGACATCGCTGAATTTTAACTATGAATTATTTCCTACCGATGACCCCACCGATTCGCAAAATGGCCTCAGTCACCTTCCGATCACTAGTGGTGCCCGGCCGGCAACCACGCCATTATCATCAAAAAACGCATCGGTTTCTCATCGTATACCCCATCGCTGGATAATTTGACTGATACTTAATGCCTAGGTCACATTTCCCCGGCCGGTAGCCGTAGACCGGTGGTAATCGGTAGTAATCCGTGATGTTAACGATGCCCCAACATCGGTCCACATCGGCCAAGTAGTCCTTAAAGTATCAGTCACATTATCCAGCGATGGGTATACGATGGACAACCAATGCGTTTTATGATAAAAATGGCGTGGTTGCCGGCCGGACTTACAAAGGCCCAGCGATGCATTGCTAATCATAAAACGATGTTCCAGGATAATCGGCCGATGTATATTACATCGCTCATACATTGGTGAACAATGTTCGTACATCGGTCGACTACGGGCCAATGTTTGGTCGAACATCGACCGATGATCGGTCGTTATCTGTTGAACACCACTAAACTCCCCGATGACCTCAGATTCAACAGATATTGGACGATGCTAGGCCATACATCAGCCGATCCTTGAAAGATGTTTTAATGATGGGTTGCCGATGAGGAGCGATGTGAGGCATCGTTGGAGACATCGCTGAATTTTAACTAAGAATTATTTCCTACCGATGACCCCACCGATTTGCAAAAAAAGACTCAGTCACCGTCTGATCACTAGTGGTGCCCGGCCGGCAACCACGCCATTTTCATCAAAAAACGCATCGATTTCTCATCGTATACCCAATCGTTGGATAATGTGACTTATACTTAACCGTGCTCCAGACTAACACTGGCAGTACCAGTACACTGAAAAAAAAATAACAAGTGAAAGTCAAGAAGAAGACTAGTAAATTTACTGTCCATACAATCACTACCTTAAAAGTAGTTTTACTAGGCATTCGGTAGATTTACTAGATAATATTAGTAAATCTAAGAATTTATGAGTAACTTTCACTAGGTATTTAAGTATCTTTACGACCACTACTCCACTTTTAACTATCTTTGCTAGTAAATAGAGTGATTACTAATCATGAAGAATGCTTTACTAGGCATACTAGTTAAATCAACAAGGTATTTCTTTCAGTGTATATTTGATGGGATCTTCCTCGTCTGATGCATCAAATTGTATCCATAAATATTACGATTTTGACGAGACATGACTTGATTGTATTTTTGCTTGAAGAATATTTGACATAGTTTTAGTAACGAATATTTCGTATCCCCCCCCCCCTCATCCAAATCTTCGCGAGAATACGAAGACGCTTGCTTTATTTGATATATTCCGAATGTTAATGATCTTAAGTAGTTTTCTGACAATTTGGGAAAGTCGGGAACAGCATCAGCGGCATCAATTTTTGACATTTTATTTGATAAGATACGTTTTCCAGAAGAATTAATGAATAAGTCTTTTAAAGGATCTGTAGTAATTTTGGATTTTTCAAGCATTTTACGGGATATTTCAAGATCATCGTCCGAGTCACTCGCGAGAGATGGCCTAAATGCGTTAATTAATGAACCAACAATACGATCATAATCACCAGTAAATGGGATTTGAGTATTTGTCACGACGTTTGCCAAAAACTTCCACCTTTTTAACCTCCCATTTGCAGATTCTACAGCCCATCTTATTTTGGTTACTAATCTCGACGTATTTGCCTCAAATAGTGAATGTTGCTTTTCCCCCTTCCCTAGAAAATATGGTGACTCGGACCTCAAACCTACAGACTCGATTACATCTAACGAGTCTCTAAAACCTCTGTCTAATACAAAAATGTCATCTTCTTTTAACCAATTTAATAAAGCGTCATCTTTTAGTAAAGTTTTATTTAAAATATATATTAGCATCATTGTTTTTGCCATCCGCTAGATATGGACCCAGGATATCAACAATGTAGCCATCAGACGCAACAAACATCATTGGTTTTACAAGGGGTCGACCTTTGTACATACTAAAGGATCTTCTCTGAAAACTATATTTTGCGCTTTTCTCAATGTATATGTATGTACCATCAACTAATAATATGGCAGTGTCGTGGTCACCAGATGCAAGAAGTTCGCGCGCAAATATTGTTGTATGTTTTGCTATGATTTCATCCCTTGTAATGTGATTTAAGCCCATATATTTCGGAACAAACTGGTCCATCAAAACTGTTCTTGCACGTTTAACAATTTGACAAACGCACTTGCTCTTCTTGATGTTAAATATCGTCTTAAGCACTGTGCCTGAGAGACCTGTTCTAAGTTTCGTTAAAAGAATCCCTATAACCGTTTTCTTTGAATATTTCTTCTGTCTTAATCCATGAATCTGTGAACACAGTGCCTCAAAATCTTGTTTATTAATGCCAGTCAAATTCATATAATCCTCATCATTTAGGGATTCGTTGTCGAAATCTACTCCTGTACTATCGAATTTTAACAAAAGTTCCCTACACTGAGATAAATAATCACTTAATTCACCTGAGGACAATTTTTTAGTACCCATTTTCATCCTATGAAAATTCTCATTGATATGTTGATCTTTAATCATGCGTTCATTGGACAAGTGAGAGGGGCATACACGTGCTTTTTCGTGCAATATAACATTATGTTTAAGAAATACATGTGCGCAGGCTTTCTTAGAAACAGTTTTCATTGACTTTTTACGGGATCTGCAAATAGCACAATATTTGTGTGACTTTGTGCCGATGTAAAATGTTTTAGCGTCAACATTGCCCCCAGAAGTCTGAAGCTTCCCTCTATTCAAATCGAGGGTGCATTTTGTGCAGATGTGGTCATCCCCCGTGACTTTTCCTCCCGTAATACGCGCTAATTCAGTCCTCCGTACTTCGTTTATCTTTCCCTTAAGGGTTCTTCGATTAGATTTATTTGTGCGCTTTTTACAAACAACACAGTTTATACTTTTAGGCATGGTGAATACTAGTAAGTGTTTGCCGATTATAACACTATATAATGACGGTTTTAACAGAAAAAAGGACTGTATAACTTTAATATCTTCCAGCAGTTTAAGTGAGAGTTTTCTTGAAACAGACGCATGTGTATAATATATAAACATGATAAACACAGTAAAAAGCGGAATCAACGATACCTAAAGTGAATTTTTAATTATGTTTATTAAATATGAGCAGTGATTAAGTAACAGATGTATGCTATAGGCCCCCCGTAATAGATCGATAGATACTTACCGAAAGAAAAAACAAACGGAAATTGGCAAAAATAACGTTCAATAAGAGGTAAATAAAACAATTCAACCTAGCATATAGATGTATCAAGTATGCACTTTTTCAAAATATTTTCAAATAGAAGGGTTGTCCAAGTATTTTTAGCCGATGGAATAAGATTTGACAATGGATAGTTCGCAGACACTCTAGACACGATGTCGAAATGGTGTGCTCAAAGCGTGAAAGTGAATAGATTTAAATCACGTGTTTAATCCTTTGTTATTCATGAGGTCAAGACGGCTTTACTGTAGAGACAAGTACCCGTGATTTTGAGGTTTTTGGGAAAATAACACATGAGCGTACGATTGTTTCAATTTCTTTCTTGGATGTAAATGATTAGTATTACTTTTTACGTTGACCATAAAAAACGGCAAATTGAAACATCAATGCTCTCATATAAAAAATTGGCTTACAAAATGGGGGTGTGGCCTAAAGTCTATGAGAAATTGATGTAAACAACGTACCCCTGCTATATTAATTAGAAAAATACCTAATTACAGTTTATGAGAGCAAATTTTTAAATTGAAATTAATAAACTACAATGTTTAATTGTAAAATTGGGGCAAAATTATGTAGAAAATCTGAAAGTTATTTTTTGTGAATATTTGGGGGGCCAAATGTGGACGTTTAAACGATTCATTCTTTTTAAGGATCATTAATAAAATGTTTATCATGGCGTATGCCAGTTTTTAACTTTATAGTCGAAGTGAAACAAAAGACATTAAAATGTTCGCGTTTTTCTGGGACAACCCTGGTACATGAACCTTCTTAAAAAGCTGTGTTTTTTATGTGCAACATATCAATTAATTATTCATAACTTTTATTTTATACCCAAAATTATGATATAAACAATGTGGCTGCGGTCCAAACAAAATAAAAATCTCACTGTGTCTTGTTCAAAGGCCTGGTAGAAAGAACCTCGTTTTTTCGTATTTGTATGATTTTTTGCAAGACAAGTATTAATAAAGAAAGGAACTAGTGTTTTTTTTTCGTTATTTTTATTTATTTTTTTGTTTGGTTGTTTGTTTCTTTTAATTTAAGTTTGATAAGGTATTCGAACAAAACAATGAAGTTCTTAGGGTAAAATACATATTTATTCAGGAAAGTCTCGATTGTCTGACATATTTTCATCAAATTTCGGTGAAGAATTCTTTTTTTAAATACATGTACTAAATTTAACTGAACATGACTTTTATACATTTTGAAACTTTACAAACGTATGTATTATAGCAACTTGAAAGAAAATCTAATCGCCTTGTATCTTGCCTTATTATCTTGAAGAAACTTTACTAACAGATTAACATTATTTATATAAAACACAAGAATGAAATTATACATCTACATGTATTTTTAAAAAAAATTAATACTGTTTGTTTATAGTATATTATTACAGTTAATTTATCTCTAGAATTTTCAAACATTGTGGTGTATATAATAAGCTCCAATGCATAAGCAATAGGAAAATATATTAAAAAAAATTAGTACGGGTGGGGTTCGAACCCACGCGGACATTCGTCCATTGGAACTTAAGTCCAACGCCTTAACCACTCGGCCACCGTACTGCGTGCACAATTTGCTCGATAATTACGACCAAGCTGTAGGAAAAGCTGTTATCGTGGTCGGTATTCTGTTCAAAGCGGCATAACTCTTCTAATGATTTTGTTGAAAAGGGAAAATGTTTTCAATCAGTTCATTTAATTCACATGTAAGTTTTCCTTTTCTGATATTTTCTCACATTTAGTTTAGTTTAAGCTCGTCCTTATTTCATTTTATCCAAAGTTGTTCTTTTTTCTTTCTTTTTTTCTCTCTCTCTCTCTTTCTTTCTTTCTTTTGAGAGGGCGCGCATTTATCAATAGAAGTATATAAAACGGACAGCTCTAAGACTGCACATGGATCTGCATCAACAGTTCCCAATGCAGTTTCCACAAGTAATACTGAGTATATGTATAATAGATTGACGTTTAATGCGAGTGAATTTTTTATTTTTTAAATTATTTAATCGTCCGCGATCCAGCAAAAGCTAGCATTAAGTTTTTTGTTCTTGTTGGGGTCAAAAGAGAAGAAAAAACATGTTTCTCCTATGGTGATTAATATTTCACTTAAAAAAGGTCTTTTTGGCAAAATTAAATATATGCATGATCTGGATTTCATTTGATTTATGCATTAAATAATGTTTTATTTTTTCATGTACAAATTACATATTAAAGATAACAGAATAAGAAAATTACCACTTGTTATATATATAGGTCCAGGAATAAAAACAAAACAAAACAAAAAGAACAACAAATTGTGTAGAATTTACATTATATATTTAAAACACAAAAATATCTTTTTAAAAAGTTATTTTTTTTAAAAAAAAAATGGGGGAGGGGGAAAGACGACAAGCATATCGAAACGCATTATTTATTACAGGTTCCACTGTGCAATTATTTGTCTTTACCCATTGTTATGCTAGTAGAATAAGATTCCCAATACCCGCTGAACTGTTTAAAAGGCCCCGGCTTAGATCACAATAGGCGGCAAATGAACTAGAACCATTTACACAAGTATACGACCGACGACTTATAAATAAATTAAATATACGTAACTGACATACACCAGTTAGGGTGGGGACTTCGATTCGGACGAAGCGCGCACCTGCTGTGAGATTTGTTTAGGAGGGAAAATCTTGTCTCCGTCCCTTATCCGCGATTGAAGAGACGTGGAAATTAGAAACTCTGATTGGAGTTGGTATATGGAGATTTTTTCTCTGGGAATTACATCGATTTATTAGGTGCAGTTCCTGCTATAGATAAAATTTTACTTTTAACTGGAAGACATTTCTGTTCTGGGACACAGATCGATCTAATACCATGATGCTGTGATAAGTGATTCTGGAAGTTGATATACATTCATTGAATCATGGAGACGTTTAGATTCCTGTGTGCCATTTTATCATTTTATGTGGGAATTTCTGTTGTGAAAGGTAAAGTTGAGCTACTGATCCATTAAATATGCTTTCATAGGCTCTAAATCATCATTTAACAAGGATATACTGTCAAGTTTTCTGAAGCTGAAAAAAGCTTAGCGCAATTACTTTCTTTGAGGTGGTAATAAAAATCTGTCATCCCCACATATTTAGCGGGTATTTAAACCTACGAGTATAACGCTTCTCTTTTAATTAAGCTTCACTGACAGAGAATTCATTTACTTGATATATAAATAAATGAAATACTTTCCTTTTGCAGTGTAAATGCTGAAATATACTTGTTCGAACAAGACATGCATTCAATCAATACAAACGTGCACGATGTTTTTTTTTAATATTCAACTTCAAGCCGGATGTATTTTACGCTATGAATCGTTGGAGTTTTAAATAAAATTGAATCCTAGGGTATCTGCCAGTTTTTTTTATTTAACTTCAAAAGAGAATATTTATATAAAATATTTTACGAATTGATAGAATTGAGCACGCAATTACATGGCTAATAAAATTTAACAAAGAATAAACAATAAAGACCTGGAAAAAGAGTGATCTTTGAGCAATCTCTCGTAATTCACTACTCAAGCAACTCTTTAAATAATTCTTTTAAAGTAATGCATTATAATTTGACCTCTCCTTCATAAACGTATATATAAAATTGAGTTCAATGTACTTGGCAGTGTATATCTATCTGTAATTTATACGAATGTCAAAAGGGGAAAATGAGGAAAAAACAACCCCGTTACCCCTCCTCTGCACCCCCCCCACCCCTTAAATGGTTTCTGATTCATGTTTCCTTCTGTGTTCTCCGAGGAAGTTGGGCAGATGTTCCATTTTTCGAACAGGTTGCGTCACTTTGTTTACGAAATAGAAATACCAATGTCATTAATTAATTTCATCAATAAATAAGTATATTCATGAACATATAGTGCAATTAAAAGCCCACTTTGTATGAAGATTATTGATCAGAATCATTGATTTTTCAAAATATATTTCTATCAAATGCACGATTAATAATACATTAGCGATAATGGATTTTGAGATCTTATATGCTTCAGTCAGTTGTATGTGTGGGTATTCAGCTTGGATATGTGCATTATACATGTTATAGAAGTGGGTTAGAGCTAAACTAGGGTTAGACAAAGAACTGATCATCATGCATAAGGGGGGAGGGGGGGGGGGGGGGCTAGACAAAGGAGCGGTGCACAATTAACCGTAATAAGAAGTAGTCGATAATCATTGGAATTAACGCTATTTAATCCATAATGGTACGCGCCGTGCAATTCCTTAATACCTTTATCAACAATAAATTCCACTCAATGGAATGGTTGATCAGATTTTGATATCAGATAGACTGAGAGCTCTACAAATAGTTAAAGCGATTAATTCCAGCTGTAGTGCAGGTCGAAGGAGATATAAACAAATAATTTAAAATCATTTTAACGATCGACTGAGTTTGTTTAAACTTAAAAGTAAATATCATTCGTCAATGTATACATCCGGAAATACATTACCCTAGAATGCATGTATACCACAGAGTGGTAAAATAATACTAAATATGAATAAATTTCTCATCCACTTCCATTATATATTAAATGACACCCCCACCCCCAACCCCCACTCCCCAAAAAAGGGATTTCTTCATTTTTCATTGAAGTTTCGGAAACATTTTTACCATATATTTGGACTTAATTAATCCCAAGCGAAAGACAATGCTACAAATATGCATGCGGATATTAAGCCCCCCACCCTTCCCACGAAAAAATAAAATAAAATAAAAACGGCCAATCAGACTCATCAAAATAACGAGGTATGATATCAAAATTGAAGGACAAAACTGTGTTCAAGGTAATATCTAAAATCTAGAACGATTTTAATTTTTTCATCAGCGAGATGTGTTGTTAAGAGAATAAAAAGGTCTCAAAGTCAAGTCCAATTTCATGTTCCTGTAAATATGAACAAAAGTGCCGAGACAAAATTTCATTTCCTATTTCCTTTTTTGAATAGATCAGACAAACTTTAATATTGATTCTAGGGATAAACAAATATTTTAAACCTCAGACTTGACGATTGAGTAAATTGTACGATCAAATGACCTTCGTTTAAAATGATTCATTTGAATGACTAGCGTAATATTTTGACCTCGCTATGATATTGTAAAATTTGATGACTTGATGCTAAATTAAGGGACAATAATCAATTTGAAATCTTCCCCTTCCCCTATATGTTTAACTCAAATACACCATGAAAAAGAACCAAATTTAACGTAGCACGGATGCTCTCTCTCTCTCTCTCTCTGCTGATACTGTATTAATTTTTAATTGTAAATTTCTGCGAAGTTTTCCTTTCTGTTTCGTTCCTTTAAATAACAGTTACCTAATTTATTTGATATCAGTGGACATTGGTGTCGGAAATAAACTGAAAAAGGGGGGGAGGGCTAAACGAGGAAAAAAACCGTTTGGAGGTTTAAACCCAATTTTCAATGCTTGAAAAATGTTTATATCTCTGCGTAAAAATTTACAAGTTCGAGAGGAAGGGGGTTTTACCCTTAACTTGGTTCTTTTGGGGAGTGATATTAATTGTAGCCTGATCCAATGCTTAAATGATAATTTCTGAAAATTCTCATATGTCAGTATTTCCGTTTGAAATGATTCTTTGTTTCGAAGTTTCATAACTGTTCTATTTATTGATTATGAAATGTTATGACCTTTGTAATTGTATGACCTTGAGGAAGCCAAAGTAAGGTACATATATTTCTTTTGAGTTGTTCCCTTTCAATGTATATGTTTAAAAATACTAATTATTAGTGTTTTACAAAAAAGTTAGTATGATACCGACAGAGAAGAAAATAAAAAAAAAAAACCCTTCTCCAAAATGATCCTAATACAATTTAGATTTTTTTCAATGGAGGAAAATTAAATGATTGTTATTATTTACTGATACACATACATTTATACTGTCACATAATTTTACATTCCCAATCTAATTGACATAATCATGATAATTATAATTTGAAATAAAATCATGCCTGAATTTATCAAGAAATGCTATCAAATACATGTATAGTGTGTAAGATATCTCCAATATCATTCATTGTTTGAATGTTATGAAGTCAACAAAATAATGCATTTGAGACTCCTTTTATATCGGAACAATATAACAAGTATAAAGTTTCATAAATACATGTATTTGATAATTTAAACAAAACATTTGATTATGGTTCGGTGATCACAAACCTAGGACGTAAAATTTTCAAGCATGTTTTTTGTTGTTTTGGTTTGCTTGCTTGTTTGTTTTGTTTGTTTTTTTTTCTGTTGAAAGAAGGATATCTGGAATAACAAAACAACACATATGACTTTCCAAAAACCATTGTGCTGTCTTGCAAGCTTCTTCATCTTTTGTGAAGTACACATTACATAATAGAATAAAAATTTTCTACATGAATATGGTAGAACCGTAGAATATCAAAGCACATTAATTTCTTCCAGTTTATCAATTATTAGCTTACAAGACATAGTTAACTAGGCATTGCAAACATACTTTCCCCTTCTATGAGTAAAAGAGTAATTCTCAAACGATTGATTGATTGTATATTGTTTAACGCCGAGTCGGCAATTTTTCAGCCATGTTTCGGCGGATAAAAAGATACATGCCTGTATGTAAAGCAGCAATGAAACAAGTAATACATGTACGTGACTAGTTAGCATCATACATTTGTTTTTATTCATTTTTTTTTTTCACATGAGACATTGAAAGAGTCAATTTCTAAGGTGTTTTTTTTTTTTTTTTTTGGAAAATAGATACTTATATTTATTTAAAAGAATTCTCTAGATATAATTTACACAAATGAAGTTGTTTATAATATTTTGATAAGGATAATAAGTTTTAGAGGAGGAAATCAAATATTTTTAATTAAAAAAAAATTACTATTTTAGACGATTGGAATCTTCATCATTTCAATAACATACATGTGTATATATGCAAATTATCAATAAATGATAAAACCTCAGATATACTTCATGCAGCTAAAAAATATTCATTCATAATTTAGCTGACAGCCCCGCCTATAATATTTTTACACGTCGCTGATTACAATTGTTGGCTCGAGATATTGTTCTAAAATTACAAAACCGGTTTACAAACTTGTTAAAACAATGAGGACTGCAATCTGATCTGATTCTACATTTTTGACTGCATAGTATATATTAAATGGACACGATATCGCTCTTCGTTACTGACAAAGATAGGTCCTAAAAAGAATTTATCAATGTTTATGGAGTAGATTTTCCACTCTGATATTAAAAAAAAATAATGCAATTAATTCATTTGGAGGATATGTGAAAAAAGGCATCAAAGATGCACCCCGTCCCTGAGTTTAGTCGTTTGTTGAAGTAATATTTGTGTAATTTCTTTTAAATCAATAAATGCTGCCTCTTCCCTTTTTTCGGTAGGACGCAATTTCTAATACGATGTTTGTAAAAAAAACGATACATGCGCTGAATACAGATAATGATAACATCATTACAGAGTACATTGTATAAATTTAACATTTAACAACTATATACAGCACTCATAGCCCAGTGACCTTAATTGCCAAGTGAACGAAATGGCGAGACAATGAATTCTACATGTATTGGTAAAATTTAAAGACTGAAACAAAGAACCGAGCACGCATGAATTCCTCTTCACCCCGTAATGGGGGTAACGTGCTGTCACTTTGAGGTATAAAACTGTGTCACACGTTGACTTATCTAAAAGTACACTTGTTAATTTAAGTTCAATTCTTTCCCTAAAACTCGCCCGTGTATCTACGTTTCTTGTAAGTTACTTTTTTACGTTTAGCGCCCTTATCCCTGTTTCCGGAACAAAATGTAGACCAATACACCAATACAACACCAGGCGCTGTGAATCCCTGCGTGATATTTAACGAGCTCGAGACAGCAATCAGTTAAACGCTGATAAAAGATGTTTTTCGCAAATTTCTCTGACATCTCTATTGTAATATTGGACCACACGTGAAATCTGTGAATGGCAATTAAAGCGGGTAATTAGGGATACCCGATAACTGATGTGAATGATTATATGGATTGCACCTTACCTGTAGAATTACAAATAGCTCTATTCTCACGATGTCGGGAAAATGTAACCTCTTTCCCCTGTTATCTGACGGTAACACGTTTTTGATATGTTTTAAACTGCAGATATATATCGTGTCACTAAAATTTTACGTAGAAAACCAATGTTGCAGATAAAAACGTTAAAAAGGAAGAAAATACTAAAAAGTTAATAGAAGAATGTTGACCATTTCTTATAAGTACAACTTTTAAAGTTCCTTAAACCTATTTTTTTAGGTCATTTAATATCAAATATTTAATTTGTCACCTCCATTAGTTTGTAAAAGATTCGCGAATTAATCGTTTATGTTGCAGGCATTGTTTTACATTATTATCTTTTTTTTCAAATAAAACTTTTGACATTGCTTTGACAATACGTTTTTTTTTATTATAGGCCAGTGTAGTATAACGAATTGTCAGACATGCAGACAAGAATCTGGTGTGACGTCATGCTCACGGTGCAATAGTGGTTTCTTCCCCTTGTCAACGACTTGTCAACCCTGTAGCCAGGGATGTAGAGCAGTGACATCAGGATCAACATGTGATGGATCAACCGGAATTTGTGCCAGCGGTTGTAATACTGGTTGGATTGGAGAAAAATGTGATCGGTGTGATAGTAATTATTACAGTGCAGGTGGGAGTTGTTACCAGTGTAGTGCAAATTGTGCAAGTTCATGTGACGGTACCACTGGCAGTTGCTTTGGAGGATGTCGTCATGGTTACTGGGGAATACGTTGTGAAAATACCTGTAGTCCTTTCTGTGTAGGACAAAGCTGTTACTACACAAACGCCACCTGTACAACCGGATGTGTTAACGGATTTTACGACAATCGTTGTGAGTCTCCTTGCGGAGCGTGTCAGTGTGAAAGGCAGTCAGGAAATTGTACCGGGTCGTGCGATGCTGGATGGTTTGGAGAAAAATGTGACAAAAGATGTAATTCTGCTTGTTATCTTGAGACCTGTGAACGGGATGATGGCCACTGCACGTACGACTGTCCTACTGGTTTTTACGGACCTTTCTGTTCTAAGAATTGCAGTGACGGGTGTGATGGAAAGTGCAATCGAGACACCGGAGTATGTTCAACTGGATGCAAGCCTGGGTTTTATGGAGACATTTGCACGAATCCATGTAATCCAAACTGCAAGACTGGATATTGCTCAAGATCCGATGGATTGTGTGTTGGTGATTGCAAAGATGGATTTTTTGGTGATTACTGCTCTAGGAGTTGTGCCAGTTCCTGCAGTGGAAACTGCAATAAAGACTCGGGCCTTTGTTCAGGTAATTGCCAAGACGGCAGATTCGGCGATTTTTGTGAAAAGTTTTGTACCGCTGGATGTTCGTCTAACACTTGCGATCGAACCTCAGGGGTATGCACGTCCGACTGCATCTCTGGATTGTTCGGATTATATTGTAACCAATCTTGTGCGACTTGTGATTCAACTGGCTGTGATAAGTCTAGTGGAATCTGTAATAGTCAGTGCGATCCTGGATATTTCGGTAGCATGTGCACAAATCGTTGCTCCTTTGGTTGTCTTAATGAAGCATGTCAGAAAAGCAATGGAGATTGTATAGGAAATTGTAAGGTTGGTTATTTCGGTGCAAACTGTTCTCAGTTTTGTAGTTCTAACTGTAATAGCTCTGTTTGCTCCAAAACCTCTGGTGATTGTTTCAGTTGTACTAACGGTCGATATTATGGTCCAAAATGTCAAAGTGCATGTCCAAATTGCGATTCACAGGGTTGTTCGTTTGAAACTGGTGTGTGCATTGGGTCTTGTTTGCCTGGATATCACGGGGCTAAATGTGATCTTCAATGTAGCGCAAATTGTGAAAGTCAGTCGTGTGACCGAACGTCTGGGAAATGTTTAAAATGTAAAGTAGGTTTTCACGGGTTTAATTGTACAATGCCTTGTAATGGAAATTGTCCGTCAAATTTATGTGAACAAGATACTGGTTACTGTTCTCAGAATTGCTCAATAGGTTCATGGGGCCACACCTGCACAGAAAGATGCAGTTCGACATGTTTTCAAAACACATGCGATAGAGATACAGGGTATTGTCATGCTTGTGACGACGGATTTTACGGTTTAACTTGCAATTTAAATTGCAGTAATCAGTGCTCGTCGGGAACTTGTGATCGCTCCATTGGTTCCTGTATCGGGTCTTGCAATGTTGGGTATTATGGATATAAATGCGAGTTTAAATGTGTTGAGTACTGCAATGGCTCTTGCAACCAGGTTACTGGCATGTGTGACAATCCTTGTCCACATGGACGTTTTGGTGATTACTGCTCTATGCTCTGCCAGGAAACTTGCTATGGAGACGATAACAAATGCATTCGATCTTCAGGTCATTGTGAAACGGGTTGTGATGTGGGCTATTTTGGCAACTTTTGTGACTTAACTTGTCCGAATTGCGACGCTGCTGGTTGTCACAGATCGAATGGCTCTTGCATCGCTTCCTGTAAAATAGGATACTATGGACCATCTTGTAACCGTACATGTAGTCAGACTTGCAATATCCTGATGTGTGCCAAAGATACTGGTTATTGTACTAACGGCTGTACATTGGGGTATTTTGGCAACACCTGTGAAGACATATGCAACCCAAACTGCGATTCCTCTGGTTGTCACAGATCTACTGGTGTCTGTTTGGGATCTTGTAAACCAGGCTATTATAATCCAACTTGCTCAGGAGTATGCAGCCCACAGTGCAAAGGCGGATCCTGTGAACGATTTAATGGTACCTGCTCGGAATGTAATATCGGTTATTATGGGGCCTTCTGCAATTCAACTTGCAGCAAATGTGACAGTCAAGGATGCAATCAAGCTGAGGGAAAATGTTTTGGAGAGTGTCAGGTAGGATATTTTGGAGAAAAGTGCGACAGACTTTGTAGCCAAAACTGCGCTACCGCATCGTGTAATAAACTTGATGGTCAATGCTCTGCTTGCAGAGATGGTTATTTCGGTCCAACCTGTGCATCCACATGTAACTCATTTTGCATTAGTAATAAATGTAACCAAACCTCTGGTTATTGTACATATGATTGTCCAAATGGATACAAAGGCAATTATTGCAATGAACTGTGCGATTCAGCATGTGCAGATAATACCTGTGATAGATATAGCGGTGCATGTGTTGGTAGTTGCAACGCTGGTAAACATGGTCAATATTGTCAGCTAAATTGCAGCACGAACTGTGGTTCTGGAACTTGTCTTAAAGAAAATGGGGACTGCATTGGTGGTTGTCGTACAGGGTATTACGGTAAACAATGTGATATTTTGTGTAGCCGTCAGTGTTCGTCTTCATGCGATCAGATTTCTGGATTTTGTTTTGGCCAATGTAAAACCGGTCATTATGGAAACTTTTGTGAAACTCAGTGTAGCGCTTTTTGTAAAAGTGACACATGCGATAAAACCACAGGGGCTTGTACCATTGGATGTGACACAGGGTATTATAGTACATATTGTAACCAGACGTGTAGTACATGTGATGACAACGGTTGTAACGACAGAACAGGTGCTTGCTTAGCCAACTGTGATGTAGGTTTTTATGGCTCCCATTGTACATCACAATGCCAAAGCACCTGTCAAGGCGCTTGTCAAAAATCGACAGGACTTTGTTTAAATTGCCCTACTGGATACTACGGAGATTACTGCTTACAAAGCTGTGCCAACTGCGATAGCAACGGATGTGCCATATCGGACGGAACGTGCATTGGACTATGTAGAGACAATTTGTTCCATGGTCAGTATTGTAAGTCATCTTGCAATGGAAATTGTTTAAACGGTACCTGTAATAAAATCTCCGGAAATTGTGATGCTTGTATTCAGGGTTACTATGGTCCAACATGCACATTAGCATGCAATGGTAATTGTCAGCAGAATGTATGCAGAAGAAATGACGGATATTGCACGAACCCTTGCTCTGAACGGTACTATGGACCAACTTGTAATTCAATTTGCAGTGTATACTGTCGAGGCGGTTGCGACCGAGGAACTGGTGTGTGTAATGCCTGTATTGATGGCCGTTATGGTGATTATTGTGATAAAACCTGTAACACTACCTGTGGAACTGGATTGTGTAATAAAAACGACGGAAAATGCATTGGTTCCTGCGTACAAGGGTATTTTGGAGATTACTGTTCATTTCAGTGTAGTGCTTCCTGTGGAGGAAGTTGTAACAAAACAACCGCTTATTGCGTCGGAGATTGTCAGAATGGGTACTACGGGAACTTTTGTGAGTTAGACTGTAGCATTGGTTGCATAGGAGCAGTATGTGCCAGAAGTAATGGGGTTTGTGGCAGTGGTTGTAAAGCTGGTTTTTATGGAACCTTCTGCAATAACACCTGTCCAACTTGTGACGCTAATGGATGTCACCAAACAAGTGGAACCTGCCTCTCTCAATGTTTGCCTGGGTACTACGGCGGGGATTGTTCTCTTCCATGTAGCTCAAACTGTAAGGGTGGTCGATGTGCTCGGTCGTCAGGCATTTGTTCTGAATGCAAAGATGGTTACTTTGGAGAAAAATGTGAGACTCTTTGCAGTACGGGATGTACTGATAACGCCTGTGATCAAAATACCGGTGTATGTAAGTCTGGTTGTAAACAAGGCTTTTACGGCACAAGCTGCAGCAGGGCTTGCGTTGGATGTAATGAATGTTTTCGTGACACAGGCTACTGTGCCAACTGCACTTCGAATAGATATGGAACCATCTGTCAGTTTACATGTAGTTCTAATTGTAAGTTGTCTTCGAGTGGGCAACTGATGTGCGACAAGGACTCTGGGGCATGTCGTTATCAATGTAGAGATGGTTGGTGGGGAGCAAAATGTGATCAAGCCTGCAACAGAGGTTCGGGATGTCAAAGTTCTGCATGCGATATCAATACGGGATTTTGCTTAACGCAGTGCTCTGATGGTTATTTTGGAGATCGATGTGAAAAGCAATGCAGTGCCACTTGTGCTGGCAACAGATGTGATAAGGCTTTGGGTACTTGTTCAAATGGATGCAACAACGGTTATTTCGGATCAACGTGCTCTCAACAGTGTGGCCAAAACTGTTTGTCTTGCGATTTTCAGACTGGTAGTTGTAATGTATGTGATAAAGGAAGATACGGAAATACCTGCCAGTTCAGTTGTAATAGTAATTGTAATGTTAGTAGTGGACCGGATCAAACATGTTCAAAGGACTTAGGTTATTGTCTGCATAATTGTAAATCAGGATATTTCGGAAACGATTGCTCTCAAACATGTCCAGGCCAATGTTTAAGTGGAAGCTGCAACAGGGCAAACGGACAATGTGACGATGATTGTAAGAATGGTTATTACGGTCTTTTCTGTAACCACACCTGTCCTAACTGCTTAGAGGGAGGCGGGGGATCCTTGTGTCATCGAACAACAGGTGCTTGTTTAAATGGATGCAAACTTGGATTTTTCAACGATCAGTGTTCTCAGATGTGCTCTTTAGATTGCCAGTCCCATGCATGTTCTGGAACCGAAAGAAATTGTACTGTTGGATGTGTTCAGGGACTGTTTGGTTCCGACTGCACATCCAAATGTAACCCGAATTGCATCAACGACATTTGTGTACGGGCGACCGGGGAATGTATCGTCGGATGTCGACCAGGTTCATATGGATCTTTATGTATGTATATTTTTATTTGATTTCTCAAAGTTTCAAAATCTAGTTAATAATCGCCGTTGAAGAATAAAAAATTCTTAATTAGTTTATATTATTTTCAAATTTTAAGCGTATAACGTATATGAACACTATGCTTTAATCACAGGTGACTTTAACTGCAGTAACATAGGATGCCCCAGTGGAAATTGCGACCGGCAAACAGGCGCCTGTCAGTCAGTCTGTGGGGCGGGGTATTATGGTTCTTACTGCAACTTGACCTGTTCCCAGTGTGACAGTGCTGGCTGTGACAAATCCACTGGGTCTTGCTTGGGTTCTTGTAAAGCTGGATTCTATGGCGTAAATTGTGAACGATCTTGTAGCAGCAACTGCAATGGAATCAGTTGTGAAAGAATCTATGGAAAGTGCTCTGCTAATTGCATAGCTGGATGGTTTGGAGATAAATGTGATCAGGCATGTCATTCAAATTGTGCAAATGGAATTTGCGATCGGGAAACAGGGGACTGTGAAAGTTGCATTGCAGGTCATTATGGGGGAAAATGTTCCTTCTTTTGCAGTTCTAACTGCAATACAACAATCTGCGATCGTACGAATGGGACTTGCACTGCCTGTGCATCAGGTTGGTACGGCGAGAGCTGCAACATCAGGTGTGGAGATAAATGTGAAAACCTTATTTGCTTGCAGGACACGGGCAACTGCCGGAAATGCAAACCAGGATATTACGGAACGAAATGCGATTCGACATGTTCAGGATGTGCCCCTTACAACAATCAGTCTAACTGCGCACAGGTAGATGGTATGTGTTTGAACAAGTGTAAGACAGGGTTTTATGGCAATAAGTGCACAGGGGTTTGCAACAACAAGTGCAAAAACAACAATTGTGAAAATACAGCAACAAATTGTCTAGATGGCTGCCAAATAGGTTACTTTGGGACCGATTGTCAATCTGATTGCAGTACCAATTGTCTGAACTCAGAGTGCAGTAAAACAACAGGAGATTGTTCGCAGGGATGCAAAGCGGGCTGGTATGGACCTAGATGTAAGTGTATCTTACATGTAATTTAAATTTCTGTACAAGATGATCCAGTATAAAACGACTTTATTTCTTGATCTCCTTTCCGTCTTACTTTAAAAATGTTTTAGTGGCATTTTATTATTGATAAATTGAGACGGCTAAAAGGTGACAATTGTCTACTTTCCGGTACTGAGGCTTATTTCGTTGATTGGATTTTTCATGCTAGAAAAATAAATAAACCTTGACAAGTAATACAAACATAATATCACACACCACACATTTTCGATAGGTTACATTTTGTTTTATTTAATTCATTTTAGGTTCAAATGCATGTAATAGTGCTTGCCTGAACAGCTTATGCAATGCTGAGAATGGTATTTGCTTCGCTTGCCCCGACGGCCTTTATGGAAATCTGTGTGATCAGCAGTGCCACACAAACTGTCAAGGGGGTGTTTGCGACAGGAACGGAACTTGTTTGGAATGCAAACCCGGATTTTATGGCAAAATGTGCAACGAGACTTGTGGAAACTGCACGAACTGTGACCGAACGACGGGATGTAAGGCTTGCTCGACAGGAAAATGGGGAAATGCTTGCCAGAATGATTGCAATCAAAACTGCCAATTAAGTAGATGTAAGAAGGATGATGGAACGTGCGAGGAATGTAAGGCAGGGTTTTTCGGAGCCCTCTGTAATAAGGTCTGCAATATTACAAATTATTGTATTGGTAATGCATGCGACCAGTTTACCGGAGCATGCAGTGGAAATTGCGTTGCTGGTTGGTACAGTAGCCGGTGCGAGATCGCTTGTCCAGTGAACTGCAAAAATAAAGCTTGCAACCGTCAGAGCGCCGTTTGCAGTTATGGATGCAGCCCTGGGTATTATGATGATCTTTGCCAGACACTATGCCCAGTGGGATGTTATAATTGCAGCTCTACCGGTATCTGTTTATCTTGCAAAACTGACTATTACAATCAGGGGTGCCTTACCCAATGCAATACAAACTGCAAACAGCCTACGGACAATTCCCGAGTTTGTGAAGCCAATACTGGTAACTGTGTAGAGGGATGTAAAGATGGGCATTATGGTGCCATGTGTCAAATGAGTTGCTCTGTAAATTGTAAGGGTCTGTCTTGTGCAAGAGACACTGGAAGATGCACTGGAATTTGCAACGCAAATTTCTTTGGCCCCTTTTGCAACGAATCATGTAGTGGTTGCGAGACCATAGGTGGATCTAGTTGCGAGCAATCAACTGGAAGATGTTTACATGGCTGTAAATCTGGTTTCTTTGGCACGTACTGCAGAGATCAGTGTAGCACAAACTGCCTTAACCTGAAATGTGAAACTTCTAAAGATAATTGTATGGATGGTTGTATCGCTGGGAAATATGGATTTGACTGTAAACAGGACTGCAATGCTAACTGCTTTGGAGGAACCTGCGTTCGGTCCACTGGGGCCTGTGAAAACTGCGTAAGCGGGATGCAAGGTGCCGCGTGTAAGTATGCAATGTAGACGGATTTGGTCTGATACTGTGTGGCTTATAACACATAATAGCAAGTATTAAGTGTGAAATAATAAGGAGGTACATGTAGAGGTTTAAGGCAAGTAGTTCAATATGTTTATTAGAATATTCAATAGGAGTCTGTGCATTGTAAGTTTGTATATGTTTTATGCTTTTATGTAACACCGAGCTTATATGAATTATTTTTGACAAATTATTTTTTTTCTAAATTTAGAGCTTACAAAAATCTTTGTTTTTTATAGTATTCAAAATGGTGTTTCAATCTTTATTATAAAGCTTTTTAACAATAAACAATTTCATAACAAATTAATGTTGCTTTTTAATTCTGTGTGCCTGAAAAGACAGCAGGTTGATTTTGGACTAGATGTAGAGAGTTTTATGGTTGGTGTGTTTTGTTTGGATTTTTACAGGTTTTGGGGATTTCGTTTTGCACATGCTACCGGATATATATGAAAGACTATTTAGAGTTTCTGTCTATCAGGTTACATAGACAATTAATAGCTTGTTAACAAGATGTGAGTATGCAAGTAGAGGAAGAAGAGAAACACATGGTACAAATTGATATGGTTTTTAAACTTATTCGAAAGAAATAACGAAGAAACTGTTAAAATATTTAATAAAAAGACATGTTAAAATATATTTAATGCTGTAAATAAAAACCTTATTTGATAAATAAAGATAAAAAAGAATAAGTATTGTAAATATATATCTATAAAATATAATGAAAAGTAAAATGTACTATGACAATAAGTGGTTATAATCTTTGCAGATATTTTTTTCATGATAAATGCTTTTTGTGTATTTTAAGATATGACGTAATTCATTATCTATATATAGGTAGCCAGAGGATAGTTTCCTCAGACAACGACAATATTCCCCTTATTGTCGGTCTCTCAGCTGGTGGTGGGGCGCTGTTGATCATCATCATAATAACCTTGATATGTATGCAGCAACGCCGATCAAGGTATACATGTACAAAAATCTTTTGTAATGATAACACCTTGTTTGTTAATTTTATGTACATTGTTCATATAAATCAATTAAATTTTGAGATTATTTTCTTCCAGTAAGCGTCGACTAGAGAAGATCTTAGCCATGAAAGCTTTCCAAGACAATAATGGTAAATCTCTCTCTGTCCTGTTTGTCTGTCTGTCTGTCTGTCTCTCTCTCTGAAAAAGCACGTATATTATTTGAGTCAAAGTTTCGTGGTAAATATAGTTGTCTTCGAACAAGGATAACTGGCACATCGTTAAAAATTGAACCACTTATCATGAGTGTTGAGAAGGAGTAAAAAATATGAAAAGTTAAAATACTACCAACGTACAGCCATCCTACGAAATAATCCATGATGTTAACTGTTAACTTCAATACTACAAAATATATTAAATTAATTCATAAGGAGGGTTGGGACCCCACTCTAGTAGAAAATGAGATAGGGAATTTATCTAGATTTGTTCTCCTCCGTATAACATGTATATCCCCGGGGTCAAGTGGGATAAATTTTACTGTTGAATTGAATTTCCAGTAGGGAAATCTTATTGAAATAGAATGCACCAATCAATTCATGAAAAAAAAAATTGTACACGAAATTCATAATCTATTATATATTTATCTAAATATCACAAAAAGCCAAAAAAATATATAATATATATACTAAAGAATACTATAGAATACCGTTTTTTTCGATTTAGGCTGGACGTTTGATGACGAACGACTAGCCCCGAGCCAGTACGGAAGGAGTTCACATAACGGAAGTTTACATGGCAGTATCCATGGCAGTGTGCACGGAAGTCAGTTCCACGGAAGTCAATACTTCGGTAAGCCTTCCTCATGACCTCGACCTTAATATTTTAGAACAACACATATAATCTTTACAGTATTGCTTATGCATTGATGATAATTGTTATGATCTTGACAGTAATTTTGGAATGTGTGAATTTCAAAGATAACTTAGATTTTGTTATCTCGAACATCGATTCACGTATCCTCAACAAATTCGTAATTGTTTCTGCTCTTATTTCGATTTCCCAACCATTTATGATAGGCGTATTTTTTTTAAAAAAATTATCTAACCTTCGAAATCTCAAATTATCAGTTATCTGGGAGTTTTTATTCAGTCTTTTCCAGTTCGAGTTTCAGCTGTATAGAATATGAAAAAAAAATGAAAGTGGAAATGTTGCATTCCAACACAGTGGAAACGATAGAATTTCTTATATATATATATTTAATTCCCTTGATAACCATTTTTTTCATTCATACGTACATGTATAACTGTAGTCTCTCTTGACGTTGTAACTTCATTCAGAATTGAATATAAATTTTGACCTGAAAATAGTTCTAACAATGTCATACATCTTAGAGATACGTAGTAGAATAGCGGTCTATGCTATTTAACAACATCGTAGACAAAACTAGATAAAAGTAATTTAATAAAATAAAATATAACATGATTGAAAAGCCATTTTCTTATCTATATTCAATATCATGTAGACAATAAGGGGTTTTCATTTAGCATAGGAAGGTTCGAAGGTACGACTTTCATGTAAATATGTCTGTCATCTTGTGTTTGATATATGTATGATAAAATGTAAAGATAATTCATAAAAATTCATCTTTTAATAAAACAAAAACCAGGTGATAGACGCCAGAGTGAAATTAATTATCCTTATGAAGAAGAAGGTGAGAATTAGAGTGCTGTGGCAGGTTTTGGGCAGATCAAGTTAATGAGGCCATTTTTCTATCTCAGCAAGCTTAGTTCTTTTTGGCAGATGAAGAGTTATACGTACAAATTGTGATTTTTAAGGCTTTTTTTCTTGTAAAGAAAGTACAGTGGCCCAAAATTGAATAATAAAATCCTATATCTTGTATTAAGAGTTTGTAAACGTTTAAAATTGAAATGAAAGTAAAGGACACAAAATGGTGTAAAATGGAATGCAAGAGTTACGTTTGAGAAAGATTTCACTGCTTGTGCTACTTTAAAGAAATGTTTCTTTAATCATACGTGAAAATATCTTTTCTATTTTGATACTGGAAAATCCAAGATAAAAGTAAAATCACAGGAACAAATTTGTCTAAAACTTTTCCGAGAGATAACACTAAAAACTTGCTGAGATAGAAAATTAAAAATGCAACTGAAAAAAACTTTAATTTTGGCGATGTCGTGATGGTAGTAACAATTTGTTGCTTTTACTCAACGCTTATTGAGGAAAAGGGTTGTTGTTTAAAAATAATCAAAAGCATTGTATTGTTTGTAACTAAATTGTTTGGTTTTGATAAGTTAAAAGGGAGTGAACATAACTTGTTGTTGTTTCCGTGTAACTTGGTACATGTATATTGGACATTAAAATCGAGATATTCATTTATTTACATCCAAAACTTTATGTTTGCGTTTTCTAAATATACAAGCACTACCATTTACAGAGCATATGTAGTTTGCACCGTCGATGGTATAATATTACATCTTTGAACTATTCAAGGGATCGCGTAGTTGGAAAAAAATCTTTTCTACTATCAAGTTCAAGAATTCAGCTACATGTAGTTGAAATTATCACTGATAATATGGCTGTAGTTCAGATAAATTTGGAAACAAATGAATAAACTCTAGTTAATTACTGAATGCAAATCAAAAGGAAGATATTTTAATCAAAATGACGCCAGGGAATTTTTCACGTACATGTTGAACAACTCGAAGACCATTATTTCATCTAAGACTCTTGTTTAATTTGTTCCCTTGGATTTAAAAAATAAACTTTATTCAAGTGAAAAGAGACTGCTCAAAATCTTATTTAAAAAAGAGTATTAATGTTAATTTTATACGAACTATAATAGTTAAGCGTATTTACAATAAGGTGAACATGACATTCATCAATTTCGCCCACAAGTAAGACAAATATCTAACGCCTTGCGAGGTATATATTTTAATATGCCTATTGTTGTAAAAAGACTGTATTTTTTCAAATATAACGAAGCAAGGGACATTATTTTTCGAAAGACATCATTTTAGATCACCAGTAAAAGTCCTCCAACATTTATTTGAAAACTTGCAACTAGATGTTTCTCTGTAAAGCGGGGATGTTTTTAGTGTATTGTGTTGAAAAGTATGTGTAGCTTTTTATGTTTAACAAAATGCCTAACAGCTAACAGAAATGTTGTTTTCTGGATTTTATTTGAAAATTAAAGGAGTACACAACGCTTTTTTTTAATTTTCAAGTAAAATTTCCAGTTAACGACAGAGAGCGTAGTCAATCTAATTAAAAGATGTTAGATCCGCCCGCATGCTCTTTACACTAACTTCTAACAACATCATCCGCCGAAACATGGCTGAAAAATTGCCGTGTGTTGATTAATTCTAACAACATTGTGTGTAGATTTATGAAAAAAAATATCGATGATTTTGCGATGTGATGGCTTTATACATGTTTATTTGATTATGTATAAGGTTTTAAAAAATATTCAATAGAGAATGTTGTTAATTAATTCTGTGTGTATATTATGGTTTTAAACATGTATTTTTGGTGTACTATTTTTAAAAATAATTATATTTGACACATTATATTTATGTATCAATCCAATCATTTAATAAACGAAAAATGTATTTACGTTTTTCTAATATACATTCGTGTGGTTTCTTCCTTTGAATAAGAAAATGGAGAGTATCGAATGGACGGCGGCTCCGTTTCCGGTCAAGGTAAGTCTTTTACTGTGTGTTTTTGTGCTCTAGGAGTATGTGGGTTTTTTTTTTTGACGTGGTTACAAGGAAGATTTTTTCAAGAATGTTTTAATGTTATTAGTTTTTGTTCTTGATTATTTATTTCTTTTTCAGTAAGAGATTTTATGTGATATTTTGTGTTTTTAGTAAGGTTGAAATGGTAGAGGTACGGACATATATATACCAATAGTTGGCTATTTACACGTAGATCTATATAAATTTAAAGCTAGAAAACAGATTCTTTAATCCATTAAACAAAGTCATGAAATGCTCCTCTTTCGAAAAAAAAAGCTTTCTATCATATACATAGAAACATTAATCCTCATTTCAAGCTGAAATCCTGTTTCTATACTTATGAAAATACATGAGATTTATTTTCACATGTTGACATCGTATTTATATTCAAGAAAATATATGAATAGAATATATGATCCTTTGCATTAGTTTAGAAAAAGTAAACTTTCTATCGAGCTTATAGAAAATATTTTAATTAGAATCTGAAATTAGTGCTGACCTCTCTTTACAGAAATAGAAGATTCCTTTTCTTCAAATACTTAAATACTGCACATTACAAAAGATGGATTCACCTCTTTCTGTTTGCTTTTGCATCATCTATTGCTCATTTAGATAATACTAAGAATTGAATTATTTCTTATGTTTCTGAATGAATATCAAATAAACTCTGCTTCAACAAAATATCTGATTCAGTTATACGAATACGAAAAGAAAATATAGGTTTTAAAAATTGAGTTAAAATTTGTTATTACAATAAAGACTAATTTTTCAATAAAATGTTTCATTTGCGAATTAATACTACTCTACTTTTCATGCAGATGTAATTTTTTGTCATTATCGAAAATATAAATTTCTCTAGTCACTAAATGAAGCTGAATTGAGAAAAAAACTTTATTTCTTTGAATTTTGTCTTGTTTGTAGAAAAGTACATTATCAAACTTTAATTCATGCATGTTCTTATAGCATGAAGACGCTAATAATGATGAACTGTGACTTTTAGTAACATTTCTTTTAAAGCAATAAAAAGCAGTCATTTAAAAAATCAGTATCCATACATAAATCATTTAGAGATGTCATGCATTTTTAACCATACATAGATTATCCAATAAACAAATATATCATGGTTAATTTTTTGGTTATTTTTTCACCGGCATACTTTGAAAGTGAAAACTTTAGAGGGACGTTAAACAATATACAATCAATCAATCCAACTAACAGATATATCATGGTTTATTATTTTTTTTCTTTATTTTTCAGAGACTTTGAAAGTTTTAGAAGCCAAAAAAATCCAAAACTTTTATGACTAGATATAATTAAAACTGCTGCTTTTTTGACAACTGTTCAAAGAGCGGAAAACAAACAATTTTACATGGAGTTTCTGAATATATTTTTTTTTACTTTAAATGTTTTGAATAGTGGTAAAAATAGCATACATGAATATTGTTTACTTTATTTAAGTTTCAGTAATAGACAATATAGACAATAGACATTATAGACAATATTTTATTTCCAATCAAGGGCCCCAAGCGAAGCATGAATGCTACGTTATTGATATGTCATCTATTGATGTATTTCAGTCCAACATAGGGTCGTTTTGTTCGGTTATTAAAAAAATCAAAATATACCAAGAAGGTACATGTAAGGGAAAATAGCTTGAAATTATCAGCGGCTAAGATGTCCTGTTCTATTTACCAATGGTCTATTGCTTGATTTGGTTTAATATTCAGAAATGTGTGTTACAATGTATTTATGTGCATGAAATCAAAAGTTATATTTATGTTTGCCATATATATTTATGATGAGTGTGCTATATATGTTTTACTTATTATTATTTTTACCATTAATTGTATGTAATATTATCATAATGTTGACGTGTATGAGAGACAAAACACATAATCACGTCTTGGTCACTGTGATAATATCCTTTGAAATGTGCCATGAATTGCCGAAAAATACTTTCGAAATGTATTTAACTGAATATTTTATTTGTGGTTTTATTTGTATTTATCATTAAATTTAAGAGTGAAGATGTTTCCAATAAGCTTTCTGTTTCTTTTTTTTGCCGACATATGGCTGAATTACTGCCAACTTAGCGTTAATCAATCAATCAATTAATCAATCAATCAATCAATCAATTGTACATTATCTTAAGTTAATTATATATTTTTTATAAAGAAATCATCATTTAAAGATATTTTTATTATCTACGTGAAACATACTTATTTTATCTGGGTTTTGAAAGAGTTTCTATGGTTAAAGAAACGTTTTCATCTTTTTTATATTACATTCTCGCACAAACATATTTTTTGCTCAAAACTTTTTTGTCCCCATTAAAATTTACATGTACATGAATAAATGTATTTGTAATGATATATATATATTTTTTACTTTTTATATATGCCAGATATACGACTATAAAGGTACATGTAGGAGTAAGGGCACTCAGCCCGTCATTTGGAATCACAACATTTGCCTAAGTTTATATGGTTTCATAAGAAAGAACAATGACTTACAGAACAGTCAGTACCGGATGCTAATGAAGGTGCAGTCATTTCCTATAATGGTGCGTCTTAGTCATTGCTCTTTCTGATGAAAACATATAAATAAGGCTTTATGTCATGGTAGACGTTTGCAGGAGAAGAAAAAAACTCTTAAACACATATGGATATATTCTTTTGTTGTAAAGTAAAATTTGAAATTTTATCAAAAAAAAATTGGATTAAAGGTTATTTATACTTGTTCACTCAATATTATGAATTGAATTAAATCGAATTTTACCTAAAAGTAAATTTATTATTTTAAACTCTGAATCCCACTGTGGGACAAGACCGTATTGGATAATTCAATAAGACCTTTTGAACCGAGGTCCCATGTCGCAGTAGGTTTTGGTTCGAAAAAAATACTTCATGCACTGCTCAATAGCCCTGAGTATCGAGTAAAGAACAGAATTTGCAGCTCTCCAGCGGCAAATGGTGGTGTCTCCATATGAGTTAAAAATTATAGAGAGGGAGGTTAAACCACTAAAAATAAATAAATATTTAATCCCACACCAAACCATGTGCAAAATCATATACCAATTAGCTGATGCTTCTAATCAAACAAACCTTATGCTTATCAACCTACAAAAATTATGAACTTTTAAAACCTTTGCAATTTAAAACAAAATCGGATGTTTCAATCCTGTCAATTACTTTTTTCATTAATATTTGCAAGTATCTGATTATTTTTGAACTACACAAAATATAAACACATAAATAAAATAATTACATTTTTTTCTTGACTATGTAAAATATAAGCATACATGTCAAAAAAAATTAATTGAATTCTTGCATCATAATTTATTATTATATCATCTATTGATGACGACATAAACGTGTTTTTAAAACAAAATCTAAACATTTCATTAAAGTTTTGAATAATCCTTTTAATTTCATATGATGTAATCTAAAAAAAATAATAATCTTTTAAGATAATCAAAGACAAAAATATAGATACATGTACGTGCGCATAAATGTATAAAATCCTTAAGTAGTTTGTTCAACAAGTCATGATTATTTTCACTGCTGATTAAATTTTAAATATAAATTAAAACAATAATTTCGAACACTTGCTGCTGATTGAATCTAGAATTTATCTCGATATTTGCTTCTCCTTATGTAACAATTATCAAGCTAAAACATACAAAAGCAGTCAGGAACAGTAAAAGTCTAACCGGCTTTAGGTCATATATTATGATAAGATAGATATAATTATTTGTCGTCAAATTCAGTACTTATAAAATCAGTAGCGATCTCATCTCAATTAAGGGACGGATAGGTTTATATCTTCAAACAATTCATTAGAATTCCTATGGAATTCCTATTCCTATTCCTTGTAAGCAGACCTATTTCTGTATTCATATGAAGCAGAATTAATTTAAAATATTCAAAATATTTTACGTATAAAGAACAAAAAACTTGTAAGGTTCAACACTACATTAAGATATATCTACAACGTATTGTCAATTGTCAACAGTTATTTCAATTGCTTTGTCTATAACACCCAGGTCACCTTGAAATAAAAGATACCACAGAGTCTGACACATCTCTTACATATTTGGATATTTTACTAGAAAAAGAAATCAATGGTTGTCTAACAACAACGTCTTTTTGATAATTGTGTTGAGTATACATTTTCAATCGTCTTCTTCCCTTATGCAGCAATATACCCTTATCAGCTGCGTTCGGGGTTTTTAGTTTTCAGTAGATTTTGTAGGCATATAGTTCTTATTTTACGTATGACCAATTTCTAGAGATGTAAGCTATTGACAACCAAGTTCATGAAACAAAACTTTTGACAATCTCGTTAAAATTCATCAATGATAGATACAATGACCTTGTTAGCAAATACAATTTGTCATTAGGTCAAATGCTGACTGGTATTTTTTTTTTAAATTTAATGTTAGTCCATTATTTATACACTGAATTGACGACGGATTTGTCCGCTATTTCCTGATCATGACAGTTAGCACACGGCGGGTGTGACCGGTCGGCAGAGGATGCTCACTCCTCTATTGCACCTGTTCCCCCTCTAATGTTTTGGAGGTCCATGTTTGCTCTGCTCCTACTTTGTATTGTTTTATGGATTTTTGATCTGGAATACTGTTCGTTATATCGTTATGTTTATTTTATGTTAGAAAATTAGTTGCACACAGAATTGTCGACGGATTTTTCTATTATTTCCCGACCAAGACAAAGAGCACAGAATGGGATTTACCGGTCAACAGGGAATGTCCACTCCTGCATTGCACCTGATCCCACATCTGATGTTTTATGAGTTTGTGTTTGCTCTGCTCCTGATATGTAATGTTACACAGACTACGATCAAAGATAAAGAACACATCTTTAAATCCAATAACTTTCACATTTAAAAGCAAATAGGTAGCATGAAGGGCCTTCGTGGGTTGGGGTGGTAACTGCATTTTCGAAATATTTTTACTATTGAAAATATTCATTTAAAGACAGATGGTCACATTCTCCTTGTAGTATATCCAAATCAGCATAATGTGGTTAAGTATTCATATCGAAGCTTAGTTAAAATTTTCTTCTAAGTATCCGTATATACTTAGTCTAATGTTTATTAGCATGATATTACATAAGAAGTGATTAAGCGTGTTTTGCAATTATACGAAATGCTTAATAAAATATGCATTTGAAAATCATTGATGTAATAGTAAAAGTATGAATATCACGGAATCATCCCTCAAACAGACTAAATACCTTAAATTTTTCATAATTAAATGCATCTGTTAATCAATTTTGAAATAGGAAATGCATAGTATGTGTTTTTCTTAAAAAACCTGAACATTTATTGAAAATTTACTAAATTGACCTAATTAGGTGAAGTTTGAAAAGTTAAAATTGGTAAATAGATTGTACACAGTGTATGAAATTTCAGAGGCATTTTCATTTGTATTTTCAAGTATTCAATCCCAAATTGTCAGAACCTGAGGATCAGAATACTTTAAATGAATCATTTTTATTAACCGGGACAAACTGAGTTGATTAAGTGTGTATTACTGCTCTTTTGATTATGTTAAGCAAATGAAATATGCACGTTAATATTCATCATGTTTGTTTTCATCGATGCTACAAAAACTGATACAGGTAATCTACAAAGATTAATAGAATATATTTATTCCTACGTCGACAAAGGGGATTTACACGTACATCCCTTGAACGTGAAATCGATTATAAATTAGTCATACACATAGACAAATACAGTTCAAAATTATTATATGATTTTCAGGATATGATAATGTGGTTGTTGCTGGTGGTGACATTGCTGTAAGAGACTTAAACCAATATGTTGCCAGAATGATAGCAACAGAGGGCGCTTTTGAAAAGGAACACAAGGTAGATAACTCTAAGAAAAATTTCAAATTTTTATTTCTTCACATGTTGTATTTTTAAGCTAGTTACTATGCAGAGTAAAAACTTTATAAAAGAATGAAAAGTTTTCGTAAATATTGATTAAAAATGATGCTGAATTAAATAATTTAGCTGGTTTTGCACCTTCTATGGAACTCAGAAATCTGAAAAAGAAAATTACGGATTTAGATTAACGTGTTTAATATATTTGAAAAATGAATTTTATGAAACGTTACATCATCAACTGATTTTCATTATTATCTATTCCCCAAAAAATAAGGCGTTTTCACTCATAATCACGCACATGCAAAGACTTTAAAATATTTTCATAAAATTTGAAAATCTTAATTTCATTCTTTTTTGCTTGATATCTTGTGAATGTTGTACATGTAGGATATGTAGGTAATCAAATAAAGTTATTCAAATTAATTTAATTACCGATGTTTTATTTAAAAATTGACAAAAAATTAGCCCAAATGATCATTACATGATATCTATCCGGAATTACGTACTTTCATATACGTATTTCAGCGGCTTCAAATTGGATTAATTGCTCCATGTACAGAGGCAGAGAAACAGGAAAATGCCAGGAAAAATAGATACAAGAATATATATGCTTGTAAGTTTATAATACATCATATAAATACTTATCCGGAAATTTTATTTAAAAAAGACATATATTAAAAGAAAAAGAATCATTAAAATAAGTCCATTTTTGATCATGATTTATTGAAATAACGAACAATTACAGCTCCATTATTTAAAAGTTCGCTGAATCATGCGGTTATTAGCGCAAAGAAAACTCGGACCACTATATATCAAGAGATGAATCAGGTGCAAGTAATGTGAAGGCATTCTGTCGATCGGTTACAACCACCTTGTGCTCTCTGTCATGAAGGGGCAAACAAAATTTTCATAAACAATTCAATGTGAAAACAAATGGTATATGTTACTGAGTATATAAGTCCTATTTATCATTCGATTTAATGAGAGTGGAGAAGCTGACAAGGTCCTGATATCGTCACTAAAATTTACAAAGTGTTGACGTTAGACGAGACTATTCTTTCCTTGTTGTGTCAACTTGTTTGTTAATAGCTCAAATTAAATGTATCTATTATTAATATCTTCCCTTTTTTAGATGACCATAGTCGTGTTTTGTTAAATAAAGAAAGTGACACGGATTCCATGCCAAGCTATATTAACGCAAATTTTATAAATGTAAGTAATTTTTTGTGTATTTTTGTGATTTGATAGAGCTATGGGAAAAACAATTATGGTAAAGTTTGATATAATTAAAATACGTCGAAAAAACAATATAAATTTCAAAATATTTTAATTTACTAATATATGTAAATGAAAAGGAGAACTCGATGTTTGTGTTTTTATTTATTTTTTTTTTATTCATACAGGGGTTTGAAAAAGAAAGCAGATATATTGCTGCTCAAGGTAATTTGACTTAAAACTTACTATTTTATTATTTTAAATTAGTGTGGAGTATGGAAATAATTTTAATGATAATTTGATATCAATACTTCTTCTAAAAGGTAAACACGACTCGGATATGGATGTGATACGCGTATTTGTATTTTTTGTCATAGCTTACATTTATACACAAACTTCAAAGACGTTTGAGAGAGTCGTTTGGTACATCTTTTAACCCCCCTCCCCCCAAAAAATGATATGACATTCTTGCTGTCAATGAGAGTTGATAGAAAAATCTATTTCCAGGACCAACAGAGAATACAGTAGATGAGTTTTGGAAAATGGTGTGGCAGAATAAATGTTCAGTTATTGTAATGTTGACAAAACTGATTGAATGTGGGGTATGTATAAATTTTACACATAAACGTTTTCCTGAATGTACACATACATACATCTAAATATATGTTCAAGTCATTTCAACACCTATATGCAAAAAGGAGAGCTGATTAATTATTTGTAAATGGACTTTATTAGTTACATAATCAGAGGGACCTATTCAATACGAAATCGAGTCCAAATACGGAGTTCCGTTTCACACCCTGTATAACTCTGTATAACTCTGTTTCAGGTCCCAAACTGAAATTGAAACTGCTATGAATTAAAACTGAGATTTTTTTTTTCAATTATTAAAGAAATTTTTGAGAATGTCAGTCAACATAAAAGATCATAACAAGTGACAAGAAACGTCTTACGCAAACCGTTTTTCATTTTTATTTAAAGAAATGTTTAAGAAATCACGTGTCCATGAAAATATTTAAAGTTTTATGTGATAACCTTTTATAAAATCAGTAATCTACAAAATTGTCTGAAGCGGGATAAATAAGTTTATGTATAGATACTTAGAAAAGCATCCCTTTATCAGTAACGTAATATGCTAAGAACGACACGTATAGATTTGAACAAAGCAATACTAAGTATTTCTGATGTAAAAACATGATGCATTATTTCCCTCCTTTTGTGATAACGTTGCTTCCCTCGCGGCACTAAAACTATAAAATCATCTGCAATTTAAAACGAAAATTAATCTATGAAGTATGAAAATTTACCGTTCACATTATCTAAGTCTTTTAATTGTTGGTTAAATGTTTAGGAATATTTTATTAAAGACGTATACTTTAGGAAATGTGTTTAATGACATTGAAATCTGAATGCATTAGTTAAAGTGATTCAGTAGTAGAATTTGATATTTGTAGGTTAGTAAGTGCTTATCATACTGGCCGATAGATGACAATGAATACGTGAATGCTGACATTCGAATAAAGTTTAAAGGCAAAGAAGAGTTTGCTGATTTCACCATTACTTACCTTTCCCTAACAAAAGTAGGTGCTTGTATTAGAATTATACCTTCAAATTATTTTTACAATCGTGATTTGAATATATATTTTATATTAAATTAATTTCGAAGTATTAGAGACGTAATTTCATGTAAATCAATAATATTTGGAAAGAAATTATGTGATTGATTAAATTTTCAACTTTTTAATACTTAAATGAGTAAATTACATGTACATATTTTTGAAATCAAAATTTCTAAATATAGAAAAAGATTTACTTATTTTTGCTTAGGGTGCAGATGAACTGGAAGTCACTCACTGTCAGTTTACTACGTGGCCAGATAAAGGCGTTCCCATTTATGTCACGCCCCTTGTAGAATTTCTGCACAAAATAAAGTCTATCGAAGATGATTCGCCATTATTAGTTCACTGCAGGTGTGTTACGTTTTCCCAAAATTTCTCCTATTGTTTTCATACGGTGTCTTTAGTAAAATATATGCACATATGCATATATGCAACATTTGCAACGAATTTATATCTTCCAAAATATTGTTTCTTGAAAAAAAAACTTCCTTTTTATTCTTATTCCTTTTTATCACGATCTGTCAGGGTTTTTGATTGGATATCTATTTTTAGCGCTGGTGTTGGAAGAACAGGTGCCTTCATCGCTGTACATTATCTATGTGAGCAAGCAGAAAAGGAACAAAAGATAAACATATTTAATTGTGTAAAGAGCATGCGCGAACAAAGAATCAATATGGTGCAAACTCCGGTAAGTAAACTAGGAGAACGTTTATATTAGTTCATTTAAAAGTGGTTAATCTGAGAATGATTTAAATGTCAACATAGGGTACTGAATTGCCTGATGCATGCGTGTTAAAATGCTGTGGGATTTCAGTTTCAATTTAATTGCAGTTTGCTGAAATACTAGTCTGTGAATACATTCTTGATCAGCAAATCTTGGTTAAAAGGAACACTTTAAAAAAATTCTTGCAAAAGATTGTGTATTATAATCCTTATACAGTTTTGTGTATTATTATCCTTATACAGTTAGATAACGTTTTGTTTGAAGGAAAGCAAAATTTTTTTCAATCGTGATTTCATTATAGCTGTTTTTATCTGGGTAAGTTCCAGAAGAAAAGGACGATTTTTTACACTTAGAAAATTTACGTTAAAATGTTTGAAAGTTTGCTCCCAAACAGGAAATATTAATACAAGATTAAAAGATGCTCAAAGTTAAATAAAATGTGTATTATAAAATTGTTGATGAATTTGTATCATCTACTTATTATCTTATTGACATCCCCAGTTTTAGAATAATTTCACTTGTTTGACAGAATAATACAACTTCAAGTATCATTGTAGGAGCAGTACAGGTTTATACACGAGTGTGTCTTAGAGTCGCTTACATTTTCAAAATCCATTGTTAAATCATCAGAGTTTAGACAATACTATGCTCAAATGATGGAAATTCAGAATGGGTCTACAACTCGACAATTAGAGCTACAGTTCTTGGTAAGAATTTTTTATTGAAATATATTTGTGAGCAATTTACTAGTAAGTGTTTTAACTTGCTGTTTGGAAAATACATGCACTTATCCAATTTTGTTTTCTTTTAGAAAATAAAATCTTTATCCAAGAACATAGAAAGAGAAGATAGTGCCAATTTACCAGAAAACCAACCTAAAAATAGAACAAATATAGTTGCCCGTAAGTACAAGCGAATTAAAAAAATATATAGTCATTTACTTAAAAATACTTAAGTTATGAGTTGATAAGTAACATAAAATATTTTCAGATTCTAAATCTCTAAGACAACGATACTTTGCAACTGCTTAACATTCTTTTTAAAATTGATGCATTGGGCAAAATACTCTTTTGTTTAATTAAATTTAATTTCAAGTTTATCTTTTTGGCAGCTGATTTTTGTCGAGTTTTCCTTTGGTCAAGTGTTCAGGGTTGCAACGATTACATCAATGCTATATATGTACCGGTAAGTACAAACAAGTAAACGTTTCACTGTCAAGTCCAAACATAAGTGCATTGTTACAAATCTTGTTTATTTATCTTTCATACACATGAAGATACAGTAAAACACGATTATAGCAAACATGTATTAAAACGAATTTACGCATACAGCTATTTATTTTTCATTCTCCGTGATGTTAAAGCGTGATTTATTGTACATATGTACATATAGCATTTTAAGAATGAAAGAAATATCCATCTCGCTATCATCTGTTTTCTTTTCCTTCGTCTGGGTTTTCTAATTAAAGAATTTTTTTTGATTGATGAAATGGTATTGATGACAAAGTTTTAAGTTGTTTGTAAGATGACATAAAATACAACTACCCTACTTGATGTTACAGACCTACCGGCGACGATATGCCTACATTATCACAGAAATGCCACAAACACACACAATCATTGATTTCTGTAGACTCCTACAGCAAGAGGAATGTAGAACCATTGTGATGCTCAACAGTGATAAAACAGAAACACAGGTAAAAATAAAGATTGATTGATTGTATGTTGTTTAACGTCCTTATCGAGAATATTTCACTCATATGGAGCCACCACCACTTGCCGGTGGAGAGCTTAAAAGGTGTCTAATACTTGGCAATTGTCAATTTGAATTCTTGATTGCGTAAAAAAAAAACTATTCATGCATATGTATAAAAATTATCCGAGATTGAGAAATAAAATTAACATGGACAAATCCACTTGATTGCTTGGCATATAAATTATGACTGCAAATACCGTTTTTAAAAATAAAACAATGGAGAGATATTTTAAAAGAATCAAGTTTCATTACATTAATTTGTGAGTTAATAATAAACAACAACGAAATACACACTCAGCAATAATTCCACAGATGGGCATTGAAAGACTCTTGGAAGATCGTTCAATTGTAGAACTGCTATTCAGTCGTTTTTTCCAGACACTTAATCGACTAAACTACATGTACATAACTTTAACCGTGAACAATTTATTGCTGACAAGCATAAGTGAAACTATTTATTCTAGAAATGTAGCACTTTAAAAATGGTAAAGTTTTCCAAAGTTTATGTAAGTACACATTTAAATTTTATATTTATCATGTAACTCTCTAGGATAAGAAATACTGGGCGTATCAATGAGAGAGCGTATTTAAACTGTAAATTTGTCATGTGACTTTATAGGATGGGAAGTACTGGGCGGATCCAGGGGAAAGTGTGGTGTGTGGGCCGTTTCGTATTGCAGTTAAGAACGTTTCGGAGGAAGAGCATTATATCTGCAGGACAATAGATCTTCACTATAGTATAGGGGTAAGCTGGATCATAATTTATTCATATTTATTTTGATTTCCTAAAACAGTTCGCTGAGAATTTTTTATCATTACTTTAGATTTTAAAGGAAGTTTTTCCAAGATTTTTATAAAATCAACCACTGTTTATTTTTCATGTTAATTTGAAAATGCGTGTTTTTTTTTATCAGTTTGTTCCTTGGATATTTAGCATATTTAGTTTCCAGATTGCCTTGATTCCTTTCTGAGGGATATGGTACAGGAACATTTGTCATTTATAAGATCGATTGATTGATAACTATTGTTTAACCCCCTTCGAGTCACGCATTTTAATGCATTTTAACGCATATACCATTTCCTATTTCTAACGCAAAATCATGCATACACCTTTTCTCCGCAATCCCGCATTTTCACGCACTTTAAAAAGTTCATTTCATTTTTAATTAAGGTGTTTCGCTTCTGACGAAATTGAATTCACCGCGCAACTCGAACTGCCGGAAATTGGTCTGAATGTCGTTATAATAAAGAATTCAATACGGCAGAGAATTAATAGTTTCTACAAATAATTATAATCATCATCCATAGAAAGTAACATTATAACGATTTTTTATGCCAGAAAACAAACATATAATAAGCATTTTACATTTCGCGGATGTGAACCGGATTACGATAAATAATGTAAACAAAAAGCAGACGAGAAGTCAAGGTCTGCGCGGTAACTTTGGTTGAGATGGTGAAACCAAAGTACAGACGCCATGGGTTCGTCTCGAAAAAGCAGAAGGAGAGATATGATAAAGTATCTGCAGGGCAATTGACTCGATGGATTAGGGGAGCTATCCTTACAGACCACAATTACTCCGCCAGTGCAACCCCTGTCAGCGTTGATCACGATCACGGTTTGTACATGTAAAATACGTAATCTAAAAGACTCGTTTTCATATCTGCATCTAAATTACCATGATTACACATAGGTCTATTAGAAATATTAGAAATATTAAAGGGAGGTACATGAATTTGTTGATGTTCATTTTATATACCAGGTCCAATCTAAAGACTTTTTGAACTATGACTACGTGTAGCTATTTAAAAAAAAATTATAGTAGTTAAAGATGTGCACCAAAAGAGAAGATATTGAATTTTTCTCAATATTTCATTGAAAAACAACATGACATAACTAAGACATTGAAAACTTGTTTTTATCAAGTATATAATTGAATTTTCAAAGATATATTTTGATAAAAACAAGTTTTCATCTGATTGACAACAAAGTTTTAAAAATATAATTTTTTTTTGGGGGGGGGGGGGGTATTTTATTGAAAACCACATGGCCTATTGTAATCAAAGTGCAACATGGAAATTTGAATCATATTTGATAATAATAAATTTAACTATACATGATGTTATATGTGGATTTCAATAATATATATATATATACTAGGCCTAGCTGTTACAAAAAAAAATTACATTTGCTGATGTCTTACCTTACATGACAATACTAATCAAAGATAATTACTGTATTTTATTTTAATACACTGCACGTGATGAAAGATATACTCATTTGACCCACAGGCCTTTAGATCACTTAGAAAAAAAATTGAGGTGTTAAAAAAAAAAATAAAGGTATGGAACTCTTTTCATAGGGTACCTACTTTCACCAATAAAATTCTTTTAAATTGAATGCTTTACAAATTTACTTTTTATCCATATATAAACAATCTTCATTCCTTCAAATTTCATTCCATAATTCCTTATACTTCTTAAGATATTATGAAATCAATTCCGAAATTGACCTGAATTTTTTAAACTGACATCAGCTTGCCAATGGGCCCAACACTAATTGTTAAGCGGGAACGACAGGACAAATTTTCTCCAAAGTCTATTCTAAACTCAATGAATATTTGCTCATTTGAATTTGAGATTTACATGATTTTTCTTTAATTGGATCATATGATCTTACTAAGTCACAAACAAAATGTTAGCAGTCTAATTGTTTTGAAAATAGAAAGGTATATAATCATGATAATGCATTACGGGAAAAAATTGTTCAACCATATAGCTTCTTTTACATTCATAATCAAAATGGCGGTGTAGTTGTTGATGCAGATTTTAACTTATTAATACAGACTACTTAACCTTACAATCTGGAGTAAGAAATCAACTTTAAAATGTTGAAAGATCTTGCAAATGCTATGCAACTCTTCGCTGCACCTCACACACCGTCTGTTTACATGTGAATGACCAGGGGCCCAAGCAAATGTAGAGTAAAAGAAAGTAGATCATATTTTAGATTGATTTCAGAATATCTTGAGAAATATCGGTATATGGAAAAATATGTTGGCACTATGAATTATTTTGAAAACTGGTTCTTGGAATTTAGTAAGTGTATCTAAACAGTAAACTAGTCAGGATGTGTTACAGTAGATAATAAAGAATGTGTAATGGTGATAATTTTTATTCATTATTCATAGAATTGCCAAATTTGAATATACTGGAAAGAGAGGAGATGGTGGATGGGGAAGAAGTGACTACATCTGAGGATTGGAAGGAGGGGAGGAGAGTAGTAGAACTTGGAGTGTTAGCTGAGGGCTTGCGGGGATGTTGTAAATGTGGCTTACCATTACAACTTTCACACACTATTTCAGTGTTGACATATGGTTTAGCTTCTTTGTTAAAGGTATGAACTCACCAATTTTTGCACAGTTTGTATAAAAACAACCTTGAAAGGTTTTTCCTTGAATTTTTCTCCATATCAAACAGGCAGTATTCCATATATCCATATTTTTAGTTTTGAAAGATGTTACATTTTTTTCTTTGAAGTAATATGAAGTAATGCATATTTAAATTCTTTTTTCCCAAGCATTTGATTTCATTAATGGTGAATGAATTTAGAACAGTGACCTGTAATTAGGGATTCATTGATTTTACATTAACATTTCAGGTCTGTTGCAGCAATACAAAGTGTAATCATATTAACCATGTAAAAACGGGGAAAAAACATGGAAGAGTGTGGGATGTAAATACAAAGCTATCAGCAGGTAAGAAGTTTAACGTACACATCCCCTACATCAGTTACATGTATATTTATTATTGTCAAGTCACAAGAGCCTGATTGAGTTTTACCTGTATATTCCAATATAAGCAAGTTTGTTGTCCCCCTCAACAGCAACTTGGACGCACCTTGAGAAATTGTTGCTGTCTTGGGGGACAATAAACTTGCTTTTGTCCTCATAGCCAGTAAATAGGTATATGTATCTATAAATTGATGTAATCAGTGGCGGATTTAAGGGGGGGCACACCCGGCGTGCACCCCCCCCCCCCCTGAAATTGTCAAAGTTAGCATAAAACATAGTTTTGTCGAGGAAATGTTTCTGATGTCTACTCGGTAGACCTCATTTTTACCCTACAAAACCTCTAGAATCCAAGAGCTTCGGGGGGCTTCGCCCCCTTGGCCCCCACCAGGGCTTTGCCTCAAGGCGGCCCCCAGAACCCCTGCCTGAATCTGGCGCCCAACCCGCCAGGGTTCGACACTAACATTTTTCGGCGTTGGTCTAGCCGGACTAGTGCATCTTTAATTTTATTAGTCCACAGGCAATTTTATGAGTCCGTCAAAAATATAATTAAACAATAGAATTTACATTTCAAGGTACTTTTTATACTTTTTTTGTAATAAACAAAGCATGCGTTTACATGAAATGTTTTATACCAATATTTGTTGAAATTGCCTGATCAGGAACTAGGATCGTGTTCCCGATCTCATTATTCTCTATAAATGATTACGACATCCAAATGCCCGACATCTTTCTTTATGAGTCATAATAAATCATAATCCCTAAAATGTTTAATTTCATTCCAATGAGTCCTAAAATTAAGTGCCGAATTGACTCAGAATTACATAACTTTCCGCCAAGATGCAAGAAAGCTAAAAATACATACGGGTTTTCCAGTGAAAGTTGTCGAGAACTTCGGTAATTTTTTCCCCCAGAAAACTTTATTAGTCCATTCGGACTAATACGCCACAACTTTTATTAGTCCAAATGAAAATGTATTAGTCTGGGACTAACGGACTAACGTTAATGTCGAACCCTGCCCGTCTAACTTCAATTCCTGGATCCGCCCCTGATAATGTTTAATTCAGAATAAAAACTTGATGAGAAGGCAAGCTATTTTTAACTTATTGAAGCCAGAGGCTCATTTCAGCTTTCTGATCTTTTTCCATTTATCTGTCTGTCAACTTTTCAAAATATGCTTTAAAGGAGAGGGAAGTGGGTACTGGTATACTGTTTTACTCTTGTGTTTTACCACACAGTCACACCTTGTTTTGGCAATATGCCATATGATGGAATTCACTTTTATAGAAATCCAATGTCTGCTTCCTATTTATCCATGTGTCTGCCTGTATATTCACAAAAGAACCTATATTCACATCATAGAAAGGGTATAACAAGTTAGAATGGGACTTTTTTTGATTTGTTCTCTAAACCACTTGACTATTCAGATGGAAAAAATTCTCTGTAGAACAGCAAAGCCTTATTACTGTATTAATCATATTGATATTGAATCATCCTAATGTAGATCAATTCAAGTTTTGTTGCCATTACCCCTAGGGGTTTAGTTTGTTAAAAGTATGGGTTCTATTTTTAATTTCTGGTAATAAAGAGAGAAAATAAATGAGACTAAGGTGAGTGTTGTATTTCACAAGCTTCTTGTTTTAAGTGATTAGATTGATTTTTTTTTTACATTTATGAATTTGTATTTACAGCAATTGTACATGTTGGTATTGGTGCAACGCAAGTCAACAGTCTCCTTTCTGAGCTGAATATACCACCTGTAAGCCATGCCATGCTGGACAAAAGACAGAAAGAGATAGGCAGAGCTGTTGAAGATATTGCTGCAGAGTCTATGTCTGATGCTTTGCAGAAGGAACTGGAAATGATGAATGAGTGTGTAAACAATATAAATTCAGTTTAAATCTCACTATTTAGCTCAAATGAGCCAAAGGCGCAATAGAGCTTTTTTGATCAGATCAATGGGTGTCCAGCATACATGTGTAGTGGTCATATGGTATAACCTGTGTTGGTTAAGTCACAATTACTAACATGTATGTCACAAACATAACAACCCATTTAATTTTACATATAAGATACATGTATGTACTAATTGCATGCATTTTTGAAGGAAAAATTGTCTTATTTTCTTTACTTATTGATGGAGAATTAAATTATAAGGAATTAACTTCATAGTTATCCAAGTTATAATAGTGTAACCTGCTTTGAAATGAAAGCCTCGCTGTATAGAAAGCCAAAACTGGCACAACCCAGGATATACAGTATAACTTGGGTAGCTATTAAATTCATTCCTAGAATGAATTAAAAAAGGAAAATTTGATTGAAGAAAAAAAATTGAAGAGTGACAGAGACACAGTCTAATCAAAATTAGATGTTAGATCTGCTCGCATAATTGCTACACTAGCATCTAACAACATCCTATAGAGGGTCACTCAGAGTTCAAATTCGGAACAACCCTAGACTTATTTTCTTCAATTACGTCAACAAATAAACAATGATTTTGCAAGAGACAATTTGATTGGTTGATTAGAATTTGACCTCTGACGTGACCCTCAATGAGATGTTGTTAGATGTTTGTGTAGCGAGTATGCAAGTGGATCTAACAAATAATTTTAATTAGATTGGACAGAGACAGTGACTTCCTAGAGTATTGTGGCCCAAGCCCCAAGAGCCTCGTGTTTTAGTTTTGATCCCCAAATGAAAATCATAGGGAATACCTAATAATAATTGATAGTGATCAAGTTAATAGAATCTGATATACTGATAAATATAAGGTTTAGTCATGTACAGTATAATTTGTGTTGATAAATATGCAGAATGTTATGCACATTAGGGGGTGTTCTAAAGGAGACAGGTTCACAGTTAATAACTGATGTCTGTTATTTAACTATTTTTCAGAGAGATGAACGAAAATGGACTAGTTGTTGCTGTAGATGCTGGATGGCAAAAACGGGGTAGCGGAAAGACATATGATAGTTTATCAGGTAAAAATACTGTAAAAGCACAAATATTCGGGGGGATCAAATTTTGTTTATTCCGTTAACAAAATTCAACAAAATAAAATCCCACACGAAATTTTATATGACTATATATTGAATAGGGCTTTAAAAAAAATATGTTTGTTTCCTGTAACATTCCAAAAAAATTAAGGGTCGGTAGGTCGGGATTTTTTTTTTCTTATGAATTGTCAAACATCCCTGGACTCAATATACCAGGTGTCATATTTACAGTGGACATCCAACATGGCATCCAAAATGGCTGCCTAGCGGCAGAAAACGATCTTCAGAAAGTTGTAGGGGGAAATTGTTGTTATAATAATGATTACTCTTTATAACTAATCAAACTTAAATGTAAACTAGGTTGACATATTTTATGTCTCAAGTTAAGCTACAAGCTAATTTTCTTTTTTTAATAAATGGAATCAGCTGATTGATCAAACGAAGTTTTGCCATTTGTCAGAAAAAAAATTCACCCGGGGGTAATTTGAATGGGTCGGTCGGGTTACAGGAAACAAACATATTTTTTTTAGACCTAGGGTTAGTTTTAAAACAACGACGAGATTATTTTTGATGTCAAAGCAACAAAATTTTATGCCCACGAAAATTTATGCTTCTACAGTAGACAAATTTTAGGAAAATAAAAAAAAATATTGATGATTAGAGTGATTACTTTACTTCGTGCCCAACATAAACTATGCATTAAGTTTGCTTAGGACTTGATTCCATTAAATATGTATGCAAACAGATGCAGTAAATTTAGAAAGACACATATCTCAAAGTTCAACTGTCAAATATTCTTCTAAAGAACAGCCATGAATAGTTATGTTGCTCATGCAGGTAAAGCATATTCAGTTTTGTTCGAAATATGGACCCAAGGTGGGATAATGGAGCCAAAAAAGGATATAATGTTTACACGGGAATATATATAGGAGAAAAATCATTAAGAGTCATAATGAGTCAAATCAAAATATTAAAATATTAGGTGATTTTACACAGTTAGCGTATTCGCTAATCGCTCTATGGCACGCAACCAATTTTTAACGACACTTATTAAAAACATTATTTACCAAAGCATTGTCAATACTTAGAACACTAACTTCAAAGAAGTAGGAATTTGGTCCCTATTGCATCCTGCAAACACGTTTTATAGCAACTGTTTACTTTTTTAAAGTTAAACGATTTGCATTAATTATACAGCACCCCTCATGAAAAATAAATATTTGACCTACATGTAATTATGCTATAGTGCACTGGACGCACAGGTTCATTGCTGACTAAAGGGGTTAAAGGTTATTACCAAATGCATACATGTAACATCAGTGATCGAGTTTGATTTTCCTTGCCAAAGTATTAAGACATACATTTTATCAAGTTAAGAAATGCATGAAAAATGCTTTAATAAAAACAACGAATACATCTATAAGTTATACAGTTTTTCTAATTTGTAATTTTTCAGGTCATTGTTCCATGGTTGGTCCTCTCTCCGACAAAGTATTGTCATACTCTCTGAGGTCTAAGAATTGCAGAGTATGCAGTGTAGCTGAATCAACCAACAAGAATCCAGCAGCCCATGAGTGCTCAAAGAATTGGGAGGGTAGTTCAAAGGCCATGGAGGCAGATATGGTTATTGAGATGGTCCAAGATCTACAGAAAAGTAAAGGAATAACCATTGATGGAATCATTGGAGATGAGGACTCTACCACTATTGCAAGACTGAAAGCTAATGTCAATGCTGATATTAAGAAGTTGTCTGATAAAAATCATCTAAAGAAACTGTTTACAAACTCTTTGTTTACCTTGAAGAAAAAACATTCATCTCTGACTTTGTCTGTGATAAAGTACATTCAGAAATGCTTCAGTTACTCCATAGCACAGGGAAAAGGAAATGCTTCTCAAATCAAAGAAGACCTTTCATCAATTCCATTACACATATTTGGAGATCACCAACACTGCTCCTCAAGGTGGTGCAACTTCATTAACAACCCTAACCTGAGGTACAAGTCACTTCCACATGGAAAACCCCTGAAAGATAGGTTCCTTCAGGATGATCTGAAAGAAGTCTTCAGTTCATATGCAAGTCATTCTGATCGTCTTTCATGCTTAGGAAGCACACAGTCGAATGAGAGTTTTCACAGAATGGTGTCTGCAAAAGCCCCAAAGACCCATCATTACAGCTCTTCTTCAAGCCTCAGATATAGAGTTGCTGCATGTGTAGCCCAGAAAAATGTTGGACACAGATATCTTGTAAAGGTTTGTAAATTTTTATTTTTTCATGCTTATTGTGTCATATCTGAGTTGAACCACTCAAGTTATCTCTTACATTTGAAAATTCTGCAAATTTTAATCAAAAGCAGATTGTATTGTATATCTGAGTTGAACCACTCAAGTTATCTCTTACATTTGAAGATTCTGCAAATTTTAATCAAAAGCAGATTGTATTGTATATGTATGTACATTGTAGTTGTACATAATAGATTCTTTTATCCTTATTAAAGGTTAACAAGAAATTGGGCCTCTCTCCTGGCTACTATACTCGACGACAGTGCATTCTGAGGGATTTACAAAGAAAGCGACAGAAGGCCATTTCAGTGACACAGAAATTTAAAAGGAGAAGGAGAGAATTGAAAGCCAGGAAGTACGTACTAGTATACTTTGATTGTCATTTGTCAGGTGTAAAAAACCTTTTGTCAACCTCAAAAATGAAAATAATAGTCCAGTCAATTTAGCAAAATTTGGGGGGTGACCTTAAACAAATTGCAACAGAAAAAAATTTTGTGGCATACGTCTCTATACTTTCATATTATACTTAAATAAAAAATCCACCAAAATCCTCTTGAGGGAAATATTTTTTTTTTTGCTTGAAATAAATGATATTTTGGGTCACAAATTTGTCCAAAAATAATTCAATTGATTCATTGTTACAAACTTTTATCTTAGAGTTTACCATCAAAATAAATACAGACATAAATGTATTTTAAAAATTAATTAATAAATGTTTAAAATATAAGGATTTTTGAATTTTTTGATAGTTTGAGTCGATTTCAAGTCGATAAAAGTTCATAAAGTGATCCTCATTCATCATCAAAATTAATGTCTCCATCAATAGAATTAGAGCAACTCGTACCACGGCATTCCCCACAACTCATGGAACAAACAATACCATGTCGTTTACAATTGCAACGTTTGGATTCACAATTTGATTTGCAGTTACAGCGAATTATTTTCAATAATTCCTCAGGTGCAGGGGGGAGATGTGTTTTTGTTGGAACCAGAATCCCGTTTTCCAACTTCCATCCCCAGTCTTTTGGCTCCAGGTTATTACCTATCCATTCTTGTACTTGATGGTATACTCGGTAAATGTGATATATTGCAGCTGCATATGTCGGTGGCAGACTGCATACTTGTACCTGTTTTTCAACACGGGATGTTTTGGTGACAAATTTCCGAAATCTCAGTAGATCTAGTCCTTCGCAAGGTTGAGCGCCAAACAAACCAGCTATAACCTCTTCCCCTTGAGATGCAAGCATTTCTTTAAATGGCATCGGCGAATTTGTTAGAAAGTAAGAGGAAACCTCCTTGTAATAAGCTGAATTAGCTTTTACTTTCTTTAACATTTGTCCCTTACTCAAACCATATATTCTAGAGGTAGTGTCACAGCCTGTCAATGCATGTAAAAACAAAATACACTCGCAAACTTCGTCTGTTAAATGTATCTTTGTCTTTTTAATGTCCCATATTTTTCCAGTTTTGTTAATTCTGTCAGAGAGAAAATAAACTTCTTTGCTTTCCGCAAGATCAATATGATGCAATAAAAGCACTAAAAGGTCTGTGTCTTCTCCAATAAGAGCGACATTATTTTCTTTTCCTTGCGATAACGTCGTTTGAACAATCAGAAGATCTGCATCACAGTGTGCATTTATTGTGCAACATCCTGACTTTTGTAGGTCATTCTGTAAGAGCTCGATAAATTTCTGTTTGTTTGATTGATTAGACAGAAACACTTCTTTTTTGGAACGAAACGGTGTATTTTCATTGAAGAAAACATCACGTCCTGTCAGACCCTTGGAGCGTCTGATGTGAGCAACATCTTTGGTTGTGGGGCCGTTTGAGTAACCATCAAAGACAACCATGCAGTTTGGAAATTTGGAAGCAACGTATCTTGAATACATTTTGGATATATCGCCAAATGTTGATTTGGAAGTCCATGGTAATTTGTGCAATAAAGACCCACCATCCAGTACATATTTAGTATCGACCGGTAAGGCATCAATCCCGCATTCACCCGACGTCCAAATTGCATCTGCAAGGGTGCTTTTGTGCGCTTCTCGTGGCATTCCCGAATTATCAAACAGAGAAGAGGGATGACTTGACAGTTCAAATTTAAAAAGTTCACTCATTTCGGGAAATGCGTCTCGAGCTACAGTTGTTATCCTCTGAAATAAAAGTTGGGGATCTACTTGGGAAGTTTCATTATCGATTGTTACGGCTTGTTTAGTGTGCATGGTTATGACTTTGTTCTTTTTCTTGAAAGAGAAGGTGGTTGCATCATTTCCAGGCAATGAAGAAATTATCTTAGATCCAATCTCATTGCATCTGTCAACATTCACATCTTTTTCTGTTGTCATCCCTGTTTCCATACTTCGAAGTTGATCAACATTTCTATCAAAAGGGTTCCGCTCCGCTATCCGATTCACAAGCACTAACAGGTCTTTATGATCTCTTTCTTGTCTGCTTTTTGAAGTTTCTTTATGCTGCTCACTTGTGCTGTAGTTTACTTCTGTCAATATCTGTAGACTCTGAGTAATCTCTGCACATATTGGGCTGGACAACAACCACAACGCTCTTTGATACTCGGACATTCCTCTGCCTCTGGTAAGTCCACCTGTTGTTTTCAGACTACGCATCAAGATCTGTTCAATTGATAAATCGGTAGATAATCCTGCCCAGTACTTATTGGATCTGCGAACAACATGATAGCCTGCTGCAAAAAGACTATGGACATCAGGATGTGTCTCTTCTAGTTCGCACATTTCACTCAAGTAAATATATGCAGATTTAACATATAGGTTATGTCCAGCAGCAGCTAAATATGGCAGCATTTTTTGAACTGTTTGTAGGTGTAGAAACCAATCCCCTGTCCTTTCAGCTTTTATAAATGTGTGCAGGAGGGAAACCATGTTAAGGTATTCAAACCAAAGGGTAGCTGTGCGATTCGTGGAGAGATCTCTCATAAATCCTGACATTTTGTCTTTTATGCCCTTAAAAACATCATTTTTACAAGCTTCATCCGCTGATAAGTTTTCATTGCACATATCGTCATACAGTGCACAAATAACTTGTAAGTCAGGATGCCACATGTGGAAGCTATCATCTCTGCCACTCAAGTCCTCATCTGCATTACCGCTGTCCTTCTGTGCAAGATTGCAATCTGACGAGTTTTCTGCAGAATGATTCTCCATATCTAAATCTGTGTCATCAGGTTGAAGTTCCCTTGATTCATCGTTTGGATTTTTTTCCCCTCCATTTTCTTCATTTGGAATTTGTATTCCATAAATCTCAGACAGAATTAGGGCATAAAGAGTAGATTCAACCAAAAAATGACCTCTGACGGCTCTTGAAACAGCCTTTCCACTGAGCATATGTACAACGGCATTTGGAGCATAGACACATTCAAGAAGCTCTTGTAAACCTGATCCCCCCATGATATGTCCAATGGCACCGAGGAAGCTCATCTGTAAATGAAAACCTCCAAGGCGTATTACTATTCTATTTAAGTCACTTTCTCTTTCATTTCTAGTAATAAGAAGCGCTTTCCAGTACAAGGGTTGATCGAAAGTTATTACGGGCGTTTTGTTGTACCTCGAAGCTTCCTTACCAACAAATTTGAGTGTTGTGTAGATGCAAGACATGTTACTTGGATCAAGGTCTATCATTGGGAAAAAAAACTGACGAAGACTGTCCAGGGAAGGTTCCACTACTAAACATCTGTAAAAATCCAGACCATGCAGGTCTTGGATATTTCAACGGCCAAATTATGGATGACATGAAGTCTAATTCCCAAAATTTATTTTTTGCTTCCAAGATTCTGAGTTTGGCAAATGGTATCTTTTCAGTCTTTGTTTTCTGCTGGTACAGAGATACATCAATTGTTCCAATGTTCAGTACTTCCTCTTTTGAAACATCTCTTCTTGGAACTTGAAAATCTTTTTTCACAACTGGTGTTATTGCTGCCATGATTCCCATTCCATGGAAAGTATTCAGACCATCAATCGTACAGGAATTGTGATCAACATTGTCTGCGACAAACTGCAAACAAGACTCCTCTCCAACATCAACCTGAAGTGAATTGCCCTGTACCACAGCAGCGGATGATTGGAACTTTTTAATTTCAGAGTAGGATGTGCAGAAGCCAAGATTATGCAAGGTGTCGATAAGGAAACGAGAGGCAAAGTGTTGATGCAGAACAACACCCAGGCTGATTTGTAATGGTGAAATAATGACCCTTGGCCTTGCCGCCTGAATCATCGCTTAACCAATAGCTGCTATCTTCAGACTAGGATTTTTTTCTATGAAAATGCTATCTAAAAATTTTTTCAGTGACAGCGGTAAGAAACTTGTATGAAAATTCATCGATCCTACTTCTGTTGGGGATGGATAAGATTGCTTTGAAATGGACATGCACTTAATGTCACTGCGTATGATCTTGGATGCAGCGGTTATTAGAGCAATCTTGTCTGACTCAGGATCTTTTTTCTGTTGCATGTAGAAGTCATGAAGAATTGATTTAGCTGTGTAACAAAATGTGACAACATCCACTTTGCCATTCACATCAGTGAAGACAATGTCTTTGTTATATTTTTGTTGAAGCTTTTGCTTCATGTACACAACACTGTAAGGGATTTCACAAAATTCTTCCATTTTTTTAACAAGATCTACTATGGTAATTTGCTCATCGTCATTTGCTTCGAAATAATCAGTTTTTTTCAAGAATGCTTTCTGTTGTATGAGCTCTACTGGTCTACCTGAGGTACATTCCTTTTTTTGTTTCGCTGGTGTTGGAGAAAATGTGCTTGGAATGTTTTTTCTGGTACGGAAATTGACACTACAGGTTTGGTGATATACAGCATCAGCTGCATGTAAGTCATTTATAACTCTCAGCCTTCCTTTAACTTCACGGCTCCAACTGTCATTCCTTTCTTCGCAAATTTTCCCAATGGTCTTCTGAAATTCAAATGTTCTAACACTAAAAGCATCGTTTCCACGTTTCCTGTCATTTATTTTAGCTGGAAATCCACAGAACAAACAGTGGTCCCGGAAGTCAAAAAATGAATGAGATCTGAGTTTTGGACGTTCTGAGGTATCGTTGCAATTTGCTATTCTCCGCCTTGCTACAAGAATTCTTCTCTTATCAGTAAGGAATTTTCTGCAGTCTGTATGAACGACATCACCAGGGATACAAAGTATGTCCTGTCCTCTTTCTTCACTCGCTGCATTAATAGTTTTGCTTCCTTTCGAAGTCAAGCATACAGTGCTGCTGGTAGCAAGGGGACCGTGACATATTTTGCAGACCTCCATAATTGCTGAAAGGTTTGAAAAGAAAATACATTTGTAGACGTGTTGCATTTGTCACTCTTGATCAATCAAAATTAGTATTAGTAAAATCGGCAATTAAATTCTGATTTTAACTTTAAATCTCAAGCAATACACTGAGTATAGAATTATAGAAGGTACATTTATATCAACAATTTGATTTTTAAAACAAAATTAATTTTAAAATGAATGAGATTGGGATACGTCATACATTTAAAGTTGAAATACAATTACATACACTGTATTTGATGAATATAATCATCTTATTTATTCAAAAAGAAATTCATTATTCCATTGCGAAAAAAAATAAAAAGAAATGAAGCCTTATGCTGTATTTTGTTACTTTTTGACTCAAATTGCGTTCCATAATTTTTTTTTCCAATATGTATGACCCCCAACGAATAGGTTTAATTTCGCACAAATTATAAAAGATAGGTTTTATTATCTAATGCAGCACAATATAACTCTTAAATTAAATGAAAACTTTTAATTTTTTCTAAATAAATATGGGCATTTATAACATATGCCATCGTATTCGAGATCGTACTACTGACCTATTCACGTCTGCTGTGGATTGATTATTTTTTAAATGTAAGAGGATCAAAACATGTAAAAATGTTTTACAATGTTTTACTGCATATTCAATTATAACTTACCTCCTAGAAATACGGCAAGGTACAAATAACTCTCATAAATTCTCATCTCTCATGATGTTGTTGACGTAAGATCCACCAATAATACGTCATAAACTTGAGGTACGGTAGCGCATAAAAGACATTGAACGTAAGCAAAATATAGCGAGTTTTATTCGATAAAAAAATATTTTAAATTACAATATTTTGAAGTGGATTTTTCTCATTATGATTACTAACAGAACACCTTTGAACTGCTGTAAAAAAAATTTTTGTTGCAATTTGTTTAAGGTCAATACTTCTTCTTTACTGGACTATAAACCAAGAACAAGTGAATGATGATAAGTATGAATTTAAGTGGGAATTAATATCAGGATTTTCATTTATTTACAACTCCTAATTTATTAGCTGTACATTAGGTGATTGTTTATTTTGCTAGGCCTTTTGTAAGACCTCAGTTTAGAATCATTTGTTTTACAGTATACATCTTCTTTACAGAATTCAAAGTATTTCTACAAAAGAAACAAGGGAAGGCATCAGTTATTTAACAGGATGTGATCTCCAGCAGGCCTCTGACATCGTTGAAATTCCAGCTCCAAAAACAATTCCAAAGTATGATCATCTCCCTTCAAGTCAGCTGTTAAATGCTGAAGAGATCTATTTTGATTTGGAAACTACTGGACTCGGTAAGAACCTAGATTTAAATGTTAAGTCAATGCTGATGGTTATGGCCCTCTTCCGGTATTTCTTTTGTATGCATTTTGAAGGAATAATACTAGAGTTATCATAGAAAACGAATAGAAATAGAGACTCTTGCATAATTCCGGTATTGGTACAAGTAGTTGAGCATGTTTTATATCTTTCAAAACTTTACCCTTCCTTCTGAGGACACTGATTAAAAAGAAATTGCATATTCTGAAAGAATTCAAGCATCTTTGAAGGAGTTAAGTCTTGGGGAAGAGGGTTACTATTATTATAATGTTTCAAAATTTTTTAAATCATGCATACTGTAAACGGATTACATTTGGCTGTGTATTCTAATAGCGGATTTGGCGAAACGCAGCAACCGCTAAATCAAGTACAACGCTAAATGTCTTGCACATATACACATAAAGAAGAAAATGAAGAAATGCGCTAAATCAAATCTACGCTTACTTATTCAAAAGTCAATTTCTGCCAAATATCATACATGCTAAATATAATACATTTACAATATATCAATTTTTGTATGTATTTTTTTTAATGCTTTTAATTTTAAAAACTTGAATTTACTTAAGGAATGAATTAAATAGCAACCCAAATTATACTGTATTACCTGGGTTGGGGCAGTTTACGCTTTCTAAACCTCAAAGCGGTTTATAAAAAAGCGTAAACTGCTCCAACCCAGGTTGTAGCAGTATAATTTGGGTTGCCATTTAATTCACTCCTTATGATTTAATTTTCAATCATCAAGAATATAAAACAAGACAAATTTTCTCTTTATAACGCCTTCAAATAGTTCATATTTTAAACGTAACGTCAAGCGGATTGATACAATTTGATGTAAGTCATTGTGACGTAAGCAAACCAGATTATACAATTTAGATTAATTTTTTATCCAATCAAATGATGCGTTACAATCAAAATTAAATTATTTGTTTTTTATTTTCAGCAAGGGATTCTCATATTGTGCAGTTGTCTGCAGTTAGAAATGATGAGGTTTTCAACAAATACATCATTCCAGAAAAACCAATGTCCTCAAAAGCTACAGAAATTACTGGAATAAAAGTAGTCAACAATAAAATGTACCACAATGATGAGGAAGTTGAGACAGTCAGCATTAAGGATGCACTGATCCAGTTTATCGACTTCATGAAGAAATCGGAGTCAGATGCTGTTCTAGTTGGACACAACTCCAAAGTGTTTGACCTTCCTGTGCTGTTCAACATTTTGAGTAAATTAAACATTTTGGAGGCATTCTCATCTGCAGTCATTGGTTTCATTGATACCTTACCTCTTTTCAAAATTTCGCATCCAAACCTTTCATCATACTCACAGTTACACCTCTTTGAAGAAATTCTACAAGACAAATACAGTGCGCATGACTCATTACAGGATGTCTTAGCCTTGAAGAGATTGTTGGACCATACAGGACCTTCCCCTGAAGTCAAACTTGCTGCATCTTTCACTTCAAACTCTGCCTTTGCCATATTCCATCACAAGAACACAACAAAAAGTCTAATGAGCACACTAAAGCCTTTATTGGACCAAAAGGTGATTTCGAATGGAATGGGAAATAAGATTGCCAGCAGTGGACTCTCCTTATCACACTTACAACTGGCTTATCGCAGAAATGGTAGGGAGGGAGTACAGGATGTGCTGACAGAGATAACAGATAACAGTGTGCGTGTGACAAAATCTAGAAAAATCATTGATTCTGTTGCAGATTTTCTCAGATCTGAGCAGTAACGCAGTTGTATGATGTTCTTTGTATGTAACTATGTTATTGTTTGTTTGGTTGTTTGTTTGTTTGTTTGTTTGATTTCTGTGAGCCAGTGCTCACTAGTAATACCCTCACTCTGATGTGAATATGGACAGACAGGAATAAACAAAGTTAATTGACAATGGATTCGTACAAAAATGAATCCAACCATATTTCATGTCTAAAAAATTTCAAGCATCTGTGATGAGTAGTTGTGGAGAAAACTGTGACAAAAATTTATTATTTGTGGTACAGACAGATGCACAGATAAACAGGAAGTTGAAATCAGATTCGTCTAAAACCAATTCCAACTGTGATGAGTAGTTGTGGAGAAAACTGTGACAAAAATTTGTTATTTGTGGTACAGACAGATGCACAGATAAACAGGAAGTTGACATCAGATTCGTCTAAAACCAATTCCAACTGTGATGAGTAGTTGTGGAGAAAACTGACAAAAATTTATTATTTGTGGTACAGACAGATGCACAGATAAACAGGAAGTTGACATCAGATTCGTCTAAAACCAATTCCAACTGTGATGAGTAGTTGTGGAGAAAACTGTGACAAAAATTTACTATTTGTGGTACAGACAGATGCACAGACAATCAGGAATTTGACATCAGATTCGTCTAAAACCAATTCCAAATGTGATGAGTAGTTGTGGAGAAAACTGTGACAAAAATTTACTATTTGTGGTACAGACAGATGCACAGATAATCAGGAAGTTGACATCAGATTCGTCTAAAACCAATTCCAACATACGGCATGGCTAAAGAAAGAGTGTGCTAAAACTTAAAGCATCTGTGATGAGCAATTGAGCATGATGAGTGATTGCTGAGAAAAATTGGACAAAAATTTGTTACTGACAGAAAGACACACAAGTGTAGAAAGAAAAACATTATAAACCCTGTGCTTCAGAGCAGGGGTATAATTATGCCATGTACTATTGTTTTTTTCAATGTTTATTGTTATAGGTAGTTTGTAGTTGAACAAAACATTTTCTTTCCATTCAAAATAAATCCTTATTTAGAAATTGACAACATTTTATTTTCATTACCCATATTTTGAGCATACATGAAAAATTAAAAGGTGTTCATTGATATTTATTGAAGAAGACTATGTGCATATTAAATTGAAACATGCACAAATGAATATGAAAGGAAATTCTGTAAATGTTTAATATTGTGTATGACCTATACTTGGCAGTAATCTATTTTTCAACAATCGGGCTAGGTTTGATTTCTAGCAAAATTTTTATTGTGTACTTATAAATACGCAGGTCATAAAAATAGCGATGTTCTTGATATAGCAACAGCAGTTTTCTGTCAAAGGCACAAAAAATCTAATGTTTACAGTATATAAAAATGTTGTATGTTACTTGTAAAGGTAACGATTTGATAGATCTCTATCACAAGGAACATGGATCTGAATAAAGTTAAATAGTTGATCATTTTTCATCTTGAATAAAGAACATTTTGTTTGATACAATGAAATCAAGAGAGATTTACATTGCATGACGCAAATTAAACTAGCTGTTAATTATTGGTACAACTAGTAGTTCAAAACATTCATTTAGTCTTTTTTTTATTTCCTTCATTTTCAATAACTGGAATTTTCCCATACCAAACCATTCTCACAATTTGCTCATGAGCAGCTCACGTGAGGACTAACCAGATTTCCTCACCTGAGTTGCTCACGTGAGTCTCATGTGCAATTTAACATGCAAATTAGGTGAAATTTGCTCACGTGAGCAGGGTTCTGCACATTAGCATTTTTTGCTCACGTGAGGAATCATTTTGCTCACCTAGAATATTGCTCACGTGAGGCTCATGAGTCTCATGAGACTCACATGTGCAACAATTGCTCACTTGAACAAGCAACAATAGAACAAAATTCAGATTACAAACATTATATAATTATATATGTAATTTTAAATTTGATTCATCAATTACATTTTAAATAATCTTGAGCAACATTTACATGTAAATAGATGCATGCATAATTATGTACGGTGAACTTCATATTTTAAACTTAAAATGAAATAAAAAATTAAATTAAATTATTATAATTATGTAAAGTACATATCAATCAAAGTATTATTATTCAATAGTTCCATTTCCAGTAGATTAACATAGAACATCCAATGTAAATGTCCAGTCAACATTTTTGACTGCATTAGTACTAGATGGATTAAAATTGTCTTAAAGTTGTCTTGGAGGCTTATAAGGTAGATGTTTCTGCCTTTACTGAATATATGAGTGGATGCAGTCATACTTGGGTGTAAAATAATAATCCAGTGGTCATAAGAATCATAAATCAATTCATTCTGTTCCACTTTTTTTCCTTGCATTTCCTTTAAATGAGTGCTAACATCAGAACTCCGTCATGTATGCAAGCTCAGCTAGGGTCCGTTATTAATCTGCAGATCCTATGATTCCAACTTTTATCTGCAAAAAATTTGAAGTTATAGTTAGCTAGTATATTTTCAAGGTTCCATTGGTCATGAAAAGCCAGTCAATAGAAAAATCATATGCATCAATATTTAATTAGCAACATAAATACAATATGTACATGTAATTCATAGCTAGAATACTAGTACTGGACTGAGGCTGTCAATTGTACACTCTGGCCTAATCTGTTCTTACCATATTTATAGTTCTTAATTAAACTGTAATTCCTGATAAAATTCTGCATTAAATACATGTATATCAAAATTAAATACACTGATAATTAACACACAAACATATTATTTTTCTAATTAGTAATATCTGAAGTGAGAGGGGGGATAAATTTCAAAGCACTTACCCTAATCTCAGATCAGCAAATCTTTGTAATTTTCCTTCATTGTGGCTGCAACATGGTAATATCTAATTGATCTTTAATCATTTCCTCATCCCATGGACATACTGGATACATTAGTAACTTTTAAAGGCTGGCTTCTAGTTCAATATGGTGATGACATGTATTTCCAAAAGCATATTTCAGTTCTTTACTGTATTAATCCATATACCCGGTACTTTCAATGTCCTTCACAAACATTTTGTATTGAAATTTTGAACTGGTCTGAGACTAGGCGCACAAATCCTGACTGGCTCTCCTCATTGGATAATGCACTACTTCAAGTAACAGTGGGGGACACAACAGGATAAAGCATTTTCAAATTGATGGGAATATGAAGATTAGAAGCTCAAGAAATTAAGATATTCCTGCCTGGTCCCCAATCATTTGTGATGCTATCAACAGGAAGTGTTAACACTTAACACATGGTCAATTGTAATAAAGGCTTGGGAAAGCTTGGACCACATAGAGTGTCAAAGTATTGTATTTCCTCACGTGAGTCTCACGTGAGGAATTGAGACTTGTAATTCTTTGGTTTTGGTTCTACTTGTAATACTGAATTTTGACTATGTCCAATTTCCTCACCTCTTGCTCACCTCTTGCTCACATGAGAAAACTGAACTTAGAATATAATCACTACCAATGTAAGGCTGTTCTTAGGTGAGCAAATTGAATAGACTTTTGCTCATGAGCATTGAGGTGAGCATAATTTTGCACATGTGCATTCTGGTTAGTATTTTCCTCCCTAACAAAGACTAACAATCTGCACATGAGCAAAATTCAATTCTACCTGATTTGCATGCAATTCTTACCTGATTCTCATGTGAGTCTCATGAGCTGCTCATGAGCATTTGTTAGAATGTTTGGTACGGGTTGCTGTGAAACGTTTATAGTGAAATGATTACTATGTGGTGGTTTTTAGCTCACCTGACACGGAAGCCCGAGTGAGCTTTTCTGATCAAAGATTGTCTGGCAATCGGTCTTTTGTCTGGGGTGTGTAAAGTTTGATATATTTTATTTCTTTGAAAGACCAACTGGCCCAATTTCAATTAAGGGGATTTAACTTTGTTCATAGGAAGTGTCTCGCCCTCTTGAAGTGGGGGATAATTAAGAATTTTGGTGGCATTATTCAAAAATCTTCTGAAGAACTACTGAAGAAAAGATGACATTTACGTGAAATTTAGCTTCATTACATACCCTATATTCAATCATTCCTGGGGGAAGGATGGGCCACAAGTGGAGCAAAGTATGCATAGAAAAATATTTGAAATGTCTGTAAAATTCTCTCAACTCAGAACAGGCAAAGCCATGATTAGTCAAACTATTAAAGAATTATCCTCAGGTAATGTGAGTGGACATGAAAATAGATATATTAACCCCCCCCCCACCCTCCCCTCTTTCCCCATAGTCTTAAATAGTCCCCCAAAAAATGAAATGTCCCTTTTCTTTTAAAGAAAAAGATTGAGTTTCAATACACTTATTCATTTAGGCAAATAGAAAATCCCCCAAAATCATGGAAGAGGCAAACAGAATCAATCCGAATTTCCTCTGGTCAAAATTTGAGAAAAATGGGTCAGAGGAAATTCAAGTTAAAATATCTTTAAAAGTAACTCATATTGATATACAATTTTTTACACCATTTGAAAGCACTTCATCTAAGTAACAAATATATAGAAAACAAAATACTTGTTAATTATTTCTAATTTATTTTCCAAGATCATTTTATAAGCCCTGTGAAAGGAAAAAAAGGCATTTTTTTGTATGAGGGTGTGTGCTTTTTGATAAGAATTAAATTTTATCTTCTATCAATTATCATTATTATTTTATCAATATTTATATTCCCTATGACTACTTTTAAAAGATAGCAAAAGGTTGGAATGATTTGAAAACATTTCATAGTTTAAAATAAATATTAAATATGTTGGACACAAATTTGGTCTTTTTCTTTACTAAAATGAGAGAATTACCTCCCTTTGTCAGGAACACCTATGGCTTGAAAATTAAATCATATTCATATGCATTTTTCTGGCTTAAAATAATTTATTATGTTTATTCTTACAATTAAAAAAGAAAAAAATCATTTTCAATTATTTTTAATGTCAGAAGCCAAACACCTTAATTGCCTAATTTCTTCTTTTTATACTTGCATAAATCTCATAAAAGATGACAAGTTATTTTCTTATTCAAATATTACGTCATTATATTATTTACGCTAAACTTTAGAGAAACTTGTACCACGCTATAAAGTGCTTGCGGAGAAATGGTAACGTCATATAATAAAAAAAAATCTTTTTGAAATTAATTAACAATGTACGTAGACTACAAAATCTATTTTATATTCTGTGAAATCACTAATTTTCGTTGGAGTTTAATTTTGTTTGTTTTCGAGGCATGAAGAGATCGACGAATTTATGACCACAACGAGATATTTAATTTAATTAAGGAATGAATTTAATAGCTACCCATTTTATACGGTATAAACTGGGTTGGAACAGTTTACGCTTTTTCATAAACCGCGAAATTCATTGCTTATAATTTAATTTTCATTCATTTGATGTAAGAAAAAAAGATGATTGTTCTAACAAAATGACTTCAATTTGTACAAAATTTGAATGTAACGTCAGGCGGATTGATACGTTTTTGACGAAAGTCATTGTGACGTAGGCAACCCATTTCATACGATATGAAGTAAATTTTTTATCCAATCAAATACAGCGTTACAACCAGAATTGAATTATTATGTATTATTACAAAACATTCTCCAGCCACAAAATCAAGTCCCCAGAAACCAATATTTTTTTTCCTCAAACCTAGAAAATTTGACCCAACGAAAATATGTGATTTTTAAATACTTTAAGGATTAATTATTTTTTATGATACATCATATCCACAAAAGAAAATGCAATAAAATTACAAGGAAATCGAATAGGATGTATGCATGGTATCTAAGTATTCATTGTATGTTCAATCAGTCTATCTTATTTTTTTCTTTAGCCATGACACAAAGTTCCATATTCTTTGGATAATCTTACAAGAATGGTTTTGTCTGTGTCTTCTTTGGTTAAACGATAACCATAGCTAAAATTAAGCAATTTAATCTTGAAATTCAAAGTTTTAATTATTAATTCAATGTTGATACAAATTCTGTTGAAAATTATTGTTAAAAGTGATAGAAAGAAAACCAAGCTTCATTTTCTATGTTCATATCATACTTATATATATTTAGATTTTCAACATTCCAGTAAGATAAAAGTGCTTTCAATTGTTCGCCTTTCAGAGTGATCGTGACAGTATAAATATAGTAGTGAGTAAATTTCATTTAAAGATCACAGTGTGCTGTTCATTTTATAATTCACACATCTTTTTTGTTTAAAACAAACTTATGTATTTTTTCAACGAATTGTTTGGTCTAAAATTTATTTATTTGCTTCATTGATATAACTTCGCTTCACTTCGCAGTTTAACGCTATTTACAAGACGGAGGAAAAAATATGTTTTTCTGCTTATTTATACAAATATAACCTTGTTCTTAAACTCAATATAAGCTTTTGCTTGGATATTGTTTTCTTTGCAAAAAATCCAAGCATGAAAATACATACCTTATTAAGGACAGATGATAGAATGAATTTTTTTCTTTGAAAAAGATATAATATCATGTCACAAGTTTAGAAAATTGGATAGTTCGTAGAATTTATTCTCCTAAGAACTGGAATATGAAAAAAACTTGGAAAATATTAGTAATATTTCAATGAAAAAACAAATATAGACAAATCACATTCAGTAAAGGTTTACAGGTGAAAACTGATTTCAGAATATGTTAACATGGTGTTAAAAATGTAATATAAACTTAAGAAAAATATACCAAGCCAGGTGAATTTTATTAGGAAAAGCTAAATGGTAAAAATCAGCCTATGTGATATTGCTAATTTTTTGTCATTTTGATCTTCCTCTTAAAATTCACCTGGCTTGGTAAATTTTTCTAAAGTTTATATTACACTTTTAGCGCCAAGATAACATATTCTGAAATTTGTTTTCACCTGTAAACCTTTAATGAATATGATTTGTCTATATTTGTTTTTTTTATTGAAATATTACTAATATTTTCAAAGTCTATATCATTTTCCAATTTTTGAAGAAAAAATTCTAAGAACCATCCACTTTCCTAAACTTGTGACATAATATCAAATCTTTTTCAAAGAAAAAATTTGTTTGTATCATCTGTCCTTAATAATATAAGTACAAGATACTCAGAATATTATGCTTCTTAAAAAAGAAAGAATTGTGTGACAATATCAAGGTCAGAGAAGCAAAAGACTTCCTGACTTTTTGTTCGATAGACTAAGTATATTTGATACTGATATTTATTTATTTTTTTTGGGGGGGGGGGGGGGGGGGGAGGGGGGCTCTTTCCTAAAGAATTCGAATAAAATGCTTGAAAAAGAAAAAAAGATAACGAACAGTGATTAATCTAATAGAAAAAAAATTAAACACAAAACACAAACCCTTGGAGTTCCAGGGGTGGGAATAGGTGCCTCCGAAGAGTAAGCATTCCCTGTTGAAATGCACTTGATAGAAATATGCTTAATCTTATTTGGAATGCATCATTCATCTTACATGTACATTATGTTTCAGTCATATAAATCCTATTTGATCAATTATTACATTTTTTGGTAAAGATTTCGTACATAAATCTTTTTGTCATGTTGATAATCTATTTTGCAAGCATTTAATTTTCTCCCAGTCTCCATCATAACATCCATAAGCATAAAGGAAAGCATTATGATATTTAATTTCTGCTGGATTATTTCCCTTGTACAACATTTTTAACAGGACATGGAAGGTGTAGTGGAAGTTCGGCAGTATCAGATAAAATCCTGGTTGGAATCGTCGCCTGTTCCGGGTTCCGTATTTTCTGTACTTGATATCGTGAAGGACATGTTGCCGTGGCAAAACCAGTCTGGTAATCATCCCGTCTTAGTGCATTGCAAGTAAGTTTGATTGACTGATTGATTGATGTATGTTTTTTTACGTCCCATTTTGGAATATTTCACTCATATAGAGACGTCTCAAGTAAGTTTGCAGAGAAAGAGAAAATATGCATTTTTGTTTTTATTGATTTATTGTGCTTTAATATCCATTGAGAATTTTTCAGTCTTATACCAATAAAACGTCATAGCAAACCAGTGAATTTTTGATGAATAAATTCTTTTCTCTTTTACTATATCAGGGGAAATATTTTTGCAAAATTAACGTTTCTTGATTTGAAGTTGGAGACCATATTTCTAGTATCATAAAAGTGCAAACCGTTTCCCGTATTCATTAATGTATTTTAAAAGTATTTAACTTTTGTCATATATTTCATTACCCTATTTATTTTATATAAATGTGTTTCTTTAAGAAATGGTGCAGATCGGAGTGGTCTTTTTTGCCTCTGTGCTTCTGCAATCGACAGAGTTATTTCGGACGGCAGTGTAGCAATGCCATACATGCTGAATCATATAAGAGCGAGGCGAAGGGAGCTAGTTCCATATTATGTAAGAAAAAACATTTCATTATTTACTTAAAGTATCCAATTCAAATTCAATAAATTAATTCTTTAAACAGCCATGTATGAAACGCAAATGATATAAATTCTTATATTTGCAAAACGTTATTGCAAAACATATTCACCGAGAAACCATCATCTATATTGAGATAATGATTTTTAAAAAGATATAAATACCTATGTTAACTGCAATTAATCTTCAAGGGACTTTCTGTATAGCGGAAAAGCAACCTCGAATGTATTATGTAGACGCCATGACACCCCCCCCCCTTTCACAAACTTTGAAATAAATGTCGATAGACCTCTTATCTGCAGAGTTTGGAGATTTACGTTATTTAAAGTAAGAAATCACCCAAAACAAACTGTGGAAGAGAGTTTTAACTCCGTCTATCTTATATCTATAAACAGAAGATGTATGAATTCTTAACATCCAATGATGTGAATACATTTGAGGTTGTTTTTGCGACCTCTGACGGAAGGACCCGAGATGATGCGATTGATATTAACTGTTTATTTCGCTTGTTGGTCTCTGATTGACCATCTACTTGGCATACAATAAATCCTTAGATTTGGTTGATTTTTTTTATGTTTGTTCTTTCACAAATTTGTTTTTTTTTATTTCAGGTACAATACAAATTTTGTCACGACGCTGTTGATAGATTTATAGGTCAATGTGATTAGAAGCTCTCCTTAAAGTCATAAACAAATCTTTAGTATTGATATATTTAATCCTTAAGAAACAGTATTATTTATTTGCTATTGAGTTTTTGTATTTGCAACATTGATTGGTGCTTGACGATTTGAATATTTTGCATTAAAATATCTGTTACTCTTAAATTGCTGAATGTATACATGTATGTCGAGTTGTCTTTTTCAGTTTTCGTGGATGTCATGACCTTTCTCCAATTGGGTCGAATAGTGTTTCCCTTTTATTTTTTCAGTTTTGATTCGGTGCTATCTTGAGTTTATCGTATATGTTATTTGAGGGTAAAAATGATTGTTTTAAATGGTCATATTACAATTGCGCATCGGTTTGCTTATTTATGGAGGAGATTAGTTAATTATTTGAGAAATAAAGATATTTTATAGTACGTATACAGTACCTTTATTTTTTTTATCGTTGATTTCTCGTCCAATAATGAAACAAACTTTAGGTTACTAGTATTAAGTACCTCTTTTTAGCCGAGGGCTCAGGTGAGCTTTTCTAATCAAAATTTGTCCGATGTCTGTCGTCGTTGTCTTCGTTGTTGTCGTAAACTTTCACATTTTCATCTTCTCAAACACGTAGCCCGCATGGTGCATTGGTTAGAACGTCTGCTCTAGAGCCGCGAAGTAAGGAGTCGTTCCTTACATCACGGCTTTCAATCCCACTGTGGTACGTGGAGACTGTTCCTTCGGATGAGACTTATAAATCGAGGTCCCGGATCGTAGTAAGTCCTGGCACAAAAACTCCCTCATTTCTCATTAGAATACAAAAGGCAATTTTTTAAAATCTTCTCAAAAACCACTGTGCTAGAAAAGATGTAACTCATGTAGAAGCATCCTCTGGTAGTGTAGATTCAAATTTGTTCAAAACCTGACCCCCGGGGTAGGGTTGTGACACAGTGGGGTAAGAAAATTTAACTTATGAATAGAAAGGAGAAATCTTTAAAAAATCTATTCAAGAACAGTAAAGCCATAATTCGTCGTAGTTACACTGAAGCATCCTCTGATGGTGTAGATTACAGTTTGTTCAAATCATGAGCCCCAGGGGTAGGGTGGGGCCACGATTGGGGATTCCTAAATACGTGCATAGATACACAAATATAGTTAAATAGATACCATTGTATACATCTGATGAGGGATTTGTCCTGAGAAAAAAAATGATTCTGATTATTTATGCAATGTATATCATTCATTTATCCCAAGGCTTTTAAATGCAGTTGAAATTCCCTTTTTAATTTCATAAAAAGAAAGTATTATTATTTTTATACAAATTTTAATAATAGTTGAACAATTAACATCAATCAGTAAAACCAGGTCATTAACCTGGGATAACAGCACGATCAGTAAACGGGATGGTCAAAATCATGGTGGCTGTGGGTGTGAAGTCCATGGACTGGGTTGTAGTACAGACCTCCGTGGTACCCACCATAACCGTACCCGCGGTAGGGATATCCATAATATCCACCAAAACCACTGTATAGGCCACGACCAAAGAATCCTCCATATAAACCTAAAAAAAAGAAAAAATGGTATGAAATCTGTAATTTGTTAATGTTTATAAATGCTTATGAGGAGTACAATATTATATATATATATATATATATATATATATATATATATATATATATATATATATATATATATATATATATATATATAAGAAATATCTTCCATGAATGCTTTAAGAATAAAGGGATATGTATATGAAAGCGTTTCTTTAAGGATGTTTGCCTTCCCCTTTCCTGACCTTAGATAAAAAAGAGAGGGTATGTAGGTGAAAAAACCACATTAATAAAAAGTTAAGAATTGATTACGTGTGATTGGGAAGATAATTTTTTCTAAAGGAAATGAGGTGTGAATACAAATGTATTTCCTTATTTTTGAAAAATTTTACAAGAACTTTAAGGAAAAAAATTTGACACTCTCCCAGTCATACATGTATCACCTAAAGTGTGTATTGCCGAATATGCCATTTTATACTAGTTGTTCAAAGAAGTGCATAGCTGCAGATCTCTAGCGTGTTTGATATTTGCATTTCTCCTTTACAAATGAGTCGTTGAAAGAAAATCAAATATCACCGATTAAAACCAATGTTCCGTGTCGAAGCTTAAAAACAACAAAACTGTATTTTGAGGCACGTGTTTTGTACATTTAGCATCTTTTTGTAATCATTATCAAATTTTAAAAACTGGTTTCTCTAAAAACACAAAACATTGGCCAAATGACCATTGAGAAAGAATGGAGAGCCGTTGGAAAGTTGATATCTGGATCATCATTGCACCATGTTTTACTTTTTTTCAACCTCTAATTGTCTTGGATATTACTTTTAAAAATTAACAACCAGTATCAAAACCCATTTAAACCCATTTCTCTTTATACGGCTGTGCGTCATTTTCATCGCAAATTTATTACAATTTGAATGCTTTGGACAAAATATAACCAAACAGGAAGTGATTTTGATCTTCGTCCAAGGCCAAGGTTTCGCATCACACCAGGTTAAACGATAGTTAAATTGTCCTGAAACAATCTTAGAAATATGAAAACAAACAATTTCAATGTTATGAAAATGATAAGAAATCGGTGCTCGATGCAGTCTAACATCATCTCAAGCAGTCTAAACCATCCTAAAAGCAGTACGCTTACATGCTAAACCTCCAAGGATATTGACAAAAATGTCTCTATGTGATGATGCACTGTCAAATCCCCGGATCTGAATCCCATTGAACACATTTGGGATTTTTATAAGAAATGTCAACCCCTTCCCCCTCTACAGAGTTTCAACGGTTTGGAATGATCAATGCAGCAGGTGTAGCAGCAGATGGGTCAACCTCCTATTCAGGGGTACATGTTATGCAACAGTAAAGGATGTCTTTATGTAATGAGAGCGAGTGGAGGTCTAACGCCATGGAGATAATTTCGTATGAATTTTCATTTTGAATGTACATCATTTCCTCGACACTTTGCTTAAAATTCTGGCGAGATACTTACATGAAATTTACTCAACATCGAACTGAAATATGCATCATTAACTATGAATTAAAGAAATTATTAATTATATGCTTTTGTTCTTTAAAACTTTAAAATTTTAACACTTAGAAATTTGATTCGGTGTATATTTGTCTGTAATAGTCAGAGACAAATATTTCATGCAACAGTTCTACAACTTTGAAGTGAACTGTTATGGTGATCATATATTGCACAGGTACATGTAGTATGTATACTATATATATAAATACTAACCTCTGCCATATCCACCATATCCATAGTAATATCCTTCAACAGTAACTGAAATAAAAAACAAAATAAATATCTGTCATCTGTTCTGTATATTTCTTATCTTAATTTCATGCAAATAAATCTTAAGTTATGATAATTATTCAATACTTTTTCCGAATAAAACAAATTGAAATATCAAAGCTTAAATAAAATAAAAAAAATACTAAGTATCTGGCGGTGATTGTTTATAAGAGAAATAATAAATAAAATCGTTTGAATTCATTAGAAGAATTCAATATTTTTTCTTCGTAAATTAAAAAAAAATTCATTACGAAGCCATTACAGTCGTATATAATGAAAAAAGTCACATGATGAAAGCAAAAAATCGTATAACATAGGAATATATATAACCGACATTAAAGATGTGAAATTTGTCTTATTACTAATTTATTATTAGTAATAAGTTGTTAATTAATCATTTGAAATTCTTTAGATAATTATTGGAAAAGATTAAATTAATTTAATTACTACGAAAAAATGAATGTTACTCACCAGCTGCCAATGTGCCTTGAAAAAAAAAGTTGGTTCAGAGATCAAATTCTTTTAAACCAAATAATAATAATAAAAAAAAGCAATGACCATTTAGATTAAATATTTATAAAAAGCAAACATTTCACAATTATTTTAAAATGCTACACATGTAAAACTTTTACCAAAAGGATAGGTATAATGAATTTTTATTTCTTTTTTATACAAAGTGTTACATTTTAAATCAGATATATAATATTAATTATTTTTGATGCAATAAAATAACCTTGTTATTTTCAGAGTGACATTAAAATATTTTTTTTCTTATTTTTCAATCGTTTTTATTTATACTTATGTATAACGTATTTAAACAGCGGTATCTAACTAGATTTTTAAAAGCATTCTTCGAAAAAGGAAATATTTTTTTAATGTAATCACGATCGATTGATCGACTGTATACAGGATATATCAATATAATAAAGTACATAAATTCAGAATACTTACAGAGTAACAGAGCGATAGCCAAGTAAGATTTCATTCTGGACCTGTCTAAAAGCTAATCACCGGAGAGGATAAATTTCACTTGCACCTGCTGACGATGTAACTGATGAGCGACGATTAGTGTACTAAGGTTTATATACAAATCCAAATCCGATGGATTCATGCAATATCCTTATATATCAACCTCGCGCTATTAAGCGTAAAACCATCATCTTTAAACGAACTCTGGTTCTGTGTGGATTTTGACTCATTTGTCTTAATTTGTCTTCATGTATCTCAATTTAAATTTCGTTCCTCTCATATTTGAAAATATTGGATAAGAAATGTATTTTTTCCACTAATGATCACTGAACTTTAACGTAAACAATAACTTGCACTAACCATGAACATGAATTGTTAAATATATATTAAGTACATTTTCTTTCATGCAAGTTTATTATTCAGCTGAAAACAATATAGTCAAAAGTATATAAAAAAAAGTTCCCTTCCTTGATATATCTCATTTTATTTTCAGATATATGCGAGGATCTTTTTTTCTCCTCATAATTCGCATTACTGCCTAATACAGATTCTGTTTATTGTTCATTATAGTTTTCATTAGCAAATACTCTAATATTTAGTTTACTATAGAACCAAACTCTACATTTTTCTTTCGAGAGTTACAGTCTCAATGTTTATTATCTATCTTTTCAGTATGTAAAATCTCAAAATTACATCTTTATTAATGTCCTTTAATATCAAATCTCTTTTCATGTTTTCCTCCCTTAATTCAGATTGACCTTTTGAAATTCATCCTATCAATGATGTTGGTGAATTAGTTAATAATAGAAAACTTCATATATGAATTTTAATGATTAAAACTTTTTTTTTCTTTTTTGTTATCTTCTTGAATGTCGCAAAATATGTTACAATATTCTAATGATTTTTTTTTACAATTAAAAAATTACTCTTTCTGAAATGCAAAGTTGAATGCAATATTTACTCATATTTGGAACAAATATTATTTTTTGGATATACTTACCAAGACACATGCACTATATTAAAACAATTAAATTATCAACATCCTGGAATAAACCTTAGGAATTTCCATGTCAAAATATCTACTCTACCGCAGATAATCAGTTGTAGTTAAGTCAAAGGTTGATGGCCGAGATAATACAATTTCAAAGTAGGGAATTCTCAAGTAGCAAAACAGGTTTTTTTCTTAAGGTACAAAAGAATTATTATAAAATAGCACTGACAAGAAGGTAATCAAACTGAGGGGAACACACATAATGGGACAGAATCAAAAGGTTTTTTTTTTTTGACAAAACTTAATTAGAAATAGGTTTGTTTCGTAATCGAGGATTAAAATAAACAGTATATTTTTACAAATGTGTCTGTTTGTTTCATCTATACATCATTCCTGAAATGAGCTGATTGTGTTTGGATGGGATTATTTCTTTTTAAAGTAAGACACGCGTCTAGTGGGAGTTACAAACAGTCTTTGAAATAACCTTATATAGAAATTACGCATGAGATGGTCCTTCTTTTAAAACATTTTTTCAATATTTTTTTCATGATGATAAATCTTCTGAATTGGTTACATATTCAGAGGAAAGAAATAGGACATTGTTTTAACAACTTGACTTGTCGACTACTTCCAAAATACTTTCTTGTTTCTTAGGTCTTCTTATTCTTAAAAGGACGTTTACTTTAAGGAAATGGATACATTCTTGTGTTTCTTTTGATAGGCTTTTCACTAATTAAAATATAAACTTTCTGAAGATGAAGAGGTTTTTAATAGAAAAGTAAGCTAAACAGACAGAATCTAGTCACCAGATGTGGGCTTTGTCGAGAAAAAATCACATCTCTTTATCGTCTCCAATGAATCTGAAAAACTAAAAAAAGTAAACAGAAATATATTAATTTAAAAAAAAAATCATGAGGCCTTCATATTAATTTAATTTTTTTTTTTAATTCTTTATGTCCTTCTCAATTTAAATTCTATCAAAAATTGAAGTTAATGATACTTGTGACATACATTTTAATCGAATTCCATGGACGAAGACATTGACTGGTCTGAACTAAATCCGAATGGAAACCCTCCACCGTAGTATCCGGATCTTTGTCCATAGCCGTACGGACTAAGGTTTGAAGCTCGACCGCGCATGTTCAATGCATGGCCATAAAACTGACTTACGAAAGGGTTGAAATCACCTTTAAACAAATTAACCAAAGATCAGAATTGTAGAGAAAATTTCGATTAGCTGTAAACATATGTAATTTTTTTTAATTTTTTTATATGATAAACTTCATTCTTAAATCAACAACATTAATGAGCACAAATCTAGTTTGGCATGCTACATCAAACTAAATTACTATGACACATTTTTGCGAATGACATTTTGTAACAGTTTACATTTATTTATTTCATATACGGGAAATGACACCTTAAAATTCCAGAAAACATTTTTTGCAGTAAAATGCATACAAATGTATCATATAGATTTGACTAACAAAAAATGTCTTACCTGCTACAAATCCAACTAAAATAAAACAAGAGATGCTTTAATATACGAGAAACACAAACGAATTCAATACATTAATTGAATAAATAAAAGAATTAATGAAGGCATGCCATTCCGTCCTCCTCTCCGATAAAAATCCGTCACGGCATCATTTCAAAGTACATGTATAACTGAAGTTTAAGAAAATTATTTCATGATAACGGTTTATCACTTGAAAAAGAAATCTGAGGAAGTTAAAAGCATCGACTTGATTCTTACACCTTTTAAGGATTATAAACAAAAATTTTTAGTGTTTATTAAAGATCTTTTTGTTATAGAAATTTGAGCGTGAAAACAAATTGAAGAGATACATCTGCTCTAGGATACTTATTAGTATTATTGAAATCAAAAAAATTAAGGACTAATTTTTATTCATGAAACTAGCTTTTTAAAAAACACTATCTTTCATTTTTAACAACCGATTATTTAATCTTAATCTAATAGCCAATTAATTTTATTTATTTGTATTTTCATTTCATCTATTTTTTCATATTATATTTCTATTTTTTAAATTTCGCATTAATCTGTTAAAGCATAATGAGCTGCATTTATGACAATTTGATTATGCTGTTAAAATATGCTGTTTTGGAAAATTTGTATGTAAAAAAAAACCTTAATGATAAATAAGAACAAAATAGAGTACTAAATATAATAGTTTCTGAAGAAAAGAAATCTGTTCGATTGAATGTTTAATATTGTATACAAAATTCATATTGTGAAGGACGACAGTCAAACCTTATAAATAATTCTTCGACTGCAAATATAAACTACTAATTATTTTTTATGTTCTTTTAATGATATATGAATAGTTAATTACAATGTTTTAACCAGAATTTCTGACATCAAAGTTGCTTTAAATTTGCTGATTGAATTTATTCTCTTTTTTCAATATAATGATACTCACCAACCACAAACAGGAGAATGAAGATACCTATTCCCTTCATTGTCACGGTTGAATAAACTTTTAATGAAGTAAACCAATTCTATTTATCAATGTGGTGACGTCACTTATCAATTGACCAAATCTGTCATAAGATTCGAACAGGATTATGGCTCAAGGCTAATTAAATCAAAGTTTGATTGATTATGCGACTAGGGAGGTATCGTAGACAGCAACAATTTGTCCTTCCAATGTAAAATTATCTGTTCCTTGTAGCATTCTGTCATTGTCTAGAATCCTGGGCACGTAGTCGTATTTTGAGCTTGGAACAATTTTTCTTGAGTTCTTTTTATATAATCTAAGGAGAGAAACGAGTTAACATTGATTTCCTTCTAGTTAGTCTGAATTATACACAATTGACCCAGGGCGGCTCAGTTTCCAAGGAAGATTTAAGCATCCCGTTTTTACCAGTCAGGACTTTGGAATCAAGATTATTACATCGATCACGTTATGTGGGAAATGGTGCCTTTGAATGAAAATTGTTATAAAATCAAATCACCCGGATAAAACTATTAAAAGGTTATAACTCTAAGAAATAATAAAGAGGTTTGTAAATTACACACTATAGAGCTACATGTTTTGTTGTTAGATGCTACATATACACATTTAAAAAGATCAGGTCAAATTTGACATGAGATGAAAAAATGTTCGCTTTTTGTTTCCTTATGACGATTTCACATTTCAAAAGAAAAGAGAGAGAGAGAGAGAGGTACTGTTAATGGGATTGAGGATGTTGTTCTGCTACATTTTATTGATAATACAGAAGTTAAGGGTCCTCCACACACCCACAGCTTATGTTTTCATATTACTGAGCATTGCTTTTAACAAGCATATCAACCTTTAAAAAGTTGCAGGATATTTTTCACAACACAGCTAGGTTTAGGACTCCTTTGGGTACCTCAGCTAATGCAGAGCTTCAGAAATCAATTATGACGTCGCGGTAAAATAAATCTCAGGAAATAAATACTTATTTTCTTTTTTAAACAATCTTACATGCAGTCATTTATCATAAATATTGTAAATATAAATCAATATGTAACTTATCTTGTCGTAAAAAAAACTACGGTATTTGAATGTAGAATTAAAGCCACCTTGATCTCGCTGTACTGACTGCGATGACGTCAGGGACTAGTTTGACTCGCAGTTTCTCTGTACTTAGACATAGATGAAGCTTCTATGAAAGCTTTTTAATATGAAAATTAAGATTAAATAGGTGTGCTCTGACAAAAATTGAGTTATATTTTTGAATGCATCAATCAATAATTCCAGTCTTATTAAATTGAAAGCGATTATGTCTCATAGTAAGCCACAGTAATGCACATTTATATATATTTACAATTGCAAATGTTTTCCCTTATATAACACTGTTTGAACAAGGCGTTTTTACATCTACGTAAAACACGTTCGTCAATGACCATAAATTGATTGTATAGTCATAAGCGATCTACGTACATGTAATTTGATAGTGACGTCAAAAGCGATAGACGTTATCAACACATTCAATTTATACCGTTGAGTTTTGAAAAACTAACTTTATGGATTTCAAACTGTACTAAAGTACTTTATTATTTGTAATAAATTAACCACAATTGTAAATATAAGTAATAAGGTATCATTTTTTTGAATTTT